AAATTGTAAGTTTTCAATTTCTTTTTTAATAAAAAAATCTCTTTCTATAATGCTTGCAAAAGTGATAAGATTAGAAGCATTTTTGATATTTTCCATGCTTGTGTCTAGTGAAAAATAGAGAAAATAAAAGGAAGATAAACATGTTAAGAAAAAGATTCTAGTATCAGGAGTAAAACATTCAAATATTATGTTTCCATTGTTCTTGCAGACGTTCTCCAAAAAGTAAGAAATTCATCGCAAACTTTCTGTAAAATACATTCATTACGTGTTGAGACCATGGAGACATTTTTCATTTTGTCACATATTTCTCGAATCTTCTAGAATCATGGGTCTATAAATCTTGCCTTCAAATCCTTCTAAACTTTCCATGCTGCAGTGTCAAAAATACTAAAGAAAAATTATCCCGACCAATTCGGTAAAAAATAAAATTCGGTAAAAAGCAAAAGGCCAGAAATATTTTGGAAAAAAAAGATGGAAAAAGTGTAAAATTAATTTTATAGAGAAAACTGATACATATTCTGAAAATTTTGAATAATCTGAGACAATTACATGGGAAAAATGCTTACTATGAAAAAATTAAAAAGACATTTTTAATTAATTACACAGCTAATTTTGCTTTTACTAAGAGCTGTTTCATAAATTATGCTTTATAGCATTATACCTTGTTCATTTTTCAGATTCAAAATATTGTATATTAAGTTGCCAAAATGAAACTTTATAATACGACAGTGAAAAATAAAAATGTTTTAATTTAATGTTATTTTTTAAATATTATTCGAATATATTACCATTATTTTAATGAAATTTACCCATGTTATGGTATTTTAAAAACACTGACGAAAAATTCTCAGATCTCAGAATTAAAAATTTTCTATAGAAACTGATCTTAAAATCGCCAAAATGTTGACAAGTCGTCAAATTTAGAACCACTTAATAAAAGAATTCATAACCTCAAAAGCAAAAAGTTGTTTAAGAGCTCTTTATTAGAAAAAATGAATTTCAAAATACTTATGTTTCACTTCTTGCTTAGAAACTCGAGTATTCCATCATTTATATTAGAAATAGAAAAAATTATAACCCATGAACCCATTCAAAAGATAACCATATACGTCAGTGAATCGCCAAAAATATTCCTCCAAAATGCTAATTCACACTCAAAATGGCAGTCGTAAAAACAGACAGAAATTTCAGACGATTAAAATTAAGGACCTTCTACTGATTTTGTCCAAAATTAAGGACTTTAAGGACCAAAAATTGATTTAAAAAAATTAAGGCCTTATAAGGACTTTTAAGGACCATACGAACCCTGTTTAATGAGTGGATATTGGCAGTTAGAGATGCAACCAAATGATCAAAAAAAGACAGCATTTACTACAAAGACTTTGGGAATTCAAATTCCATTTGGATTATGTAATGTGCCAACAACATTCAAACACGTCATGCAGTGGTCTTTCCTACAAAGACTGTCTGACATACTTGAATGACATCATCGTCAAGAAGAGTTGTGAGGAGCATTCAGAAAATATTAAGAAAGGGGGCTTCAGACACTGAAGGAAGTTAAAATAAAGTTAAGACCAGCCAAATTAAAATTGTTTAGGCAGGAAGTGACTTATCTTGAACATGCCATCTCTGCCAAAGGTGTGTGTATGAATCGAGAAAAAAGTGTCAGTAGTTAAAGGTTGGAAATGCTCGAAAATATCCATCAATTGAGATGTTTCCTGGGACTTTGCACCTAATATCTAAGATCTGTGAAGGTGCTTTTCTTCCATCACAAGACTCCTTCACAAACTGACAGAGAGCAAATAAAAGTTCTTGTGGACAAAAGGAGAGGAAGCATTTAACAAACTGAAGAAGGCTTTAACATCTGTGACACTACTGGTGTACTACTCACCTCGACAAACCATTCATTCTTGATATGGATGCAAGCATTAACAGTGTCTGTGCTGTTTTATTCCAAGAAATAAATGATCAAGAACGTGTGATGACATCTAAACTGGAGAGGAATTATTATGTTACCAGGAAAAAGTTGCTTGCTCATAGTTAAAGCTGTAGAGGAAAAGTGTCAGTAGTTAAAGGTTGGAAATGCCCCGAAAATATCCATCAACAGAGATCTTTCCTGGGACTTTGCACCTAATAAGATCTGTGAAGGTGCTTTTCTTCCATCACAAGACCCCTTCACAAACTGACAGAGCAAATAAAAGTTCTTGTGGACAAAAGGAGAGGATGCATTTAACAAACTGAAGAAGGCTTTAACATCTGCGACACTACTGGTGTACTACTCACCTCGACAAACCATTCATTCTTGACATGGATGCGAGCATTAACAATATCTGTGCTGTTTTGTCCCAAGAAATAAATGATCAAGAACGTGTGATGACATCTAAACTGGAGAGGAATTAATTATTATGTTACCAGGAAAAAGTTGCTTGCTCATAGTTAAAGCTGTAGAACATTTCCATTATTATCTCTATGGCAGAAAATTCCTTCTCTGCACAGATCACATTGTTGACCTGGCTCTTAAATTTCAAGAATCCTGAACGTCAAATAGCCAGGTGGATACAAAAACTCCAAGAATATGACATAAATATTCGCCGTCAAAAGGAATCATCACATGGAAACAACTACTCCCTGTCTCTGTCCAGAAAGCTGCCAATATTTTTCGAGGGTCGAAATGAAATATAAGCTGCTTAATCTAGTCATATGTCAAGTTATGAATTCAACATAATCTGACCTAGACCTATGCAATGACAAAGAAGACCAATTAGAAGGTGGTGGCATTAAAGCCATACTTAAAGGAATCTTCAAATGGAAAACCTACCTGGAAAGACATTTCAACCTATAGTCCTACAACAAAACAATATTGGGCTCTCTGAGACTCACTCTATATTTGAACATGCATTTTGTATTGGAAATTCGAATAGAGTGATGGAAAGGCATTCCGAAGGCAGCTGATACTTCCAAGACCATAGGTCCCGCATGTCCTTAAAGAACTACACAGCAGTTCAACAGGAGACCACTTCGGAATAATGAAGTCTTTGCATAGAGTTCGACAGCACTTCTGGTAGAGTAGTGCAAGGTCTGATGTTCAAAATTGGTGCCAATCTCTTGCGATGCTTGTGCAGATCAGAAAGGGCTGAAGAAATGCAGCTAAGGGAATCTTAAGCATACGAAAAGTGCAAGTTAAACCCATCATCTACAATATCCTGGGAACTCTGCCACGAACTGCTGATTGTAATAAATGTATCTTTGTTATCATTGATTACTTTACAAAGTGGCCTGAAGTGAATCCTATCCCTGATCAAGGGGCTGTCCTGATAGCAGAGTGCCTTTTCAATTACATTCTTATCAAGTAAGGATTTTATTTTAGCTGTAATTAAAGAACTTTGTACTTGGTATACACAAAACCCAAACAACACCTTTACACCTGCAGTCAGATGGCATAATAGAAAGGTTTAATTGAGTCATCCCTAAAAAAAACTCACTGATGGTTTCCAGAAACCAGCAGGATTAGGACCAGGAGTTACCTCTCTTCTTACTGGCCTATTATAGTGCTGTTCACAAGACTACCAGCTATTCTCCATCTTAGATGGCCTTTGGTCATGACTTTTGTCTGCCTTGTGATCTGTTTTTGGTCATCCTACAGATGCACCTTCATCACCTGAGGAGTACATTTACGATCTCCATGTACGGTTTGGAGTGATGCACAGTTTTGTGCAGCAGCAAGTCAGTTTGGCAATGAAGAAGATAAAGACCAGATAAGGCATGAGAGCTACAGGACATCTCCAATGAAGGTGAAAAGTGTGGTTATCGAATCCGATTTGATGGAAAGGGCTTCCTCCTAAATAGAAGTCACCCTCGGAAAGTCTTTACACAGTCCTGAAAAGGCTGAATGACATTTAGTTCAAATCCGTAAGACATCAAATTCTAAGCCTGAAATTGTTCATTACGATTGGTTAGCCTCTTACTATGGCCATAGTACAAAGTACCCATTGTGAATATAATGCAAATAGTATACTAAGACCGTGGTCCTATTTGTATATAAATTTGTAAATTTATGCATTTGATTTGTGGCATGTTATTTATTGAAATTACTGTTTTGGCATTACATTGACTTTCCTTAGTTATAAATATGGCTTCCAGTCCATGGATTGTACTGCTCAGAACATGCAGTCCTTGAGAAGGAGCTAATATCACAAATTTTTTACATATGTAATAATTTTAATAATATTATACATAAAATTGTAGTAGCTCTTATATAATGTAACATGAAATGCTTCAAGAGTCGAAGCTCTGCCAGAAAAATAAGGTTAAAAGGGCAAGTCTGTTTAGCATTGAAGTAAATGGCTCTCGCTAAATCTACGAGATAGTGCCAAACTGGCGATGGTTTTGGCAATTTAATTTTGTTGCCAAATTTGGCAATAAATCAGTTAAAGTTGCCAAACTAGGAGGGCATTTGGAAAATTGATTTCTATATGTAAAAATAACTATATATGCCTCCAGCAATATCAAGAAATCGAAGGTATTGAAAATCTCTTTGCAGCGGGAAGAAGACACTGTAAAGAGAATCAATTCTCAGTTTTTAGTTCAGAGCCTTACTTTGGAATATTGAGAGATTTGCTCTTTAGATGCACTGTGTTTAACATTATTAGTAGTTTGAAGTGGTAAATACTGATTGTGCTCTGCCCTACTAAGAACAGAAAAGCTCTATGCATACAATTGTGGAAAGTTGAAGATTGTAAAGTGTTTCTGTGGGGGAAAAAATTGATCAAGCTATCATCAGTTCTACGTGCATTCAACCCATTACAAACCTGTATGCATGCAACAATATTATGAAGGTGAAAATGTTTTGTACTTAAATAATTTAATTATTTTGTTAAAAATACTGCAAAAATAGAAAGTTAATGGTTAAAATGCCAGGTGTCTGGCAACAATGGAAACATAATAAATGACTTTATTCACAAAACATAACTAGTAAATTATGGCAAAACATATCAACTTACGAGGAAAGATTGTAGACCACATAGTAACACAAACAGAAACCGCCTAAAAGCACAGATCCAACAATTACGCAAACCAAAACAGGAACTGGTTGCACCTAAAAGGCATTAAAACTAATGCATAATTTTATCTTGCAAATGAATGTAAAAATGACAGCGGAAGGAAAAGTACATCAAATACAGTGCAAAGTCCGAGATCCAGAATCATTGGGACTAATCGGGCAGTTCTGTATTTCGAAAATTTCTAAATCATCATCAGTTTAAATATAATAGAATGTTTAAATCTAACAGAATATAGTGACCACTTTAAGTGTCAGAATTTAGGGGCAGCAAAAATTTTAGTATTTAGAGGAGCACCACCAAGCAGTAAAAACTATGGATAACAGAATTTTTAGAATTTAAGAAAAGCACTGGGCAGTTGAATTTAGAGACAGAACTCTTAGAATTTAGGGAGGTACTGAGCAGCAGAATGCAAAGCTCCTGCCCTACCCTCACACACATACAACCACTCAAGTACTGAAAGTATGTTCCTCACTACCATCAATATTATGCCAATGCATTGTTACTGATGGTGCAACTGCTTAACAGCAGGTGTTAGAAATGGACATGAAGGACTCTTAGTTAGTCCCGAGAAAAACTGCATTTAAGGTGCACCCGCTTCCTTTTGTTATATTTTTCACTCCAATATTTTGAAAGGAGGGGATTTTTTTATTATGTTTATTTATTTTTGACTGATGGTCCAAAAGTCTGGATTTCAGGCTTTGACTACATGTCTAAAATGCTATGGTTACTTAGATAATTAAATTTACTAATTAATTATTTGCAAATTTTGGCAATCTAAAAAAATTTATTACTAAAATTTGAAAATAATTAGAAAACAAATGCATAGCTATGCAACATCAGAATTGTACATACATTCAAAAAACACCAAAGTCTTATCCCATCCTTTCCTTTTTCCATAACTCTAATTGAATACCTCTGACATGTCCATTTATTCCATAAATGTGCATTACAATAATTGGAAATGTAACTTGCTAAATATTTAACAGTACTTTTAAACTCAAAGCATATTTCAATTAAAACTAAATTTTCCAAGAACGATTTAAAAAAAAGTTTTTATAAATCGCAAAACAAACGTATAATACAGTATTTAATAATTTTAATTTTGTTAATAAACAACTGACATAAAACTCTATAGAAAACTTTGACAATAACTTTTGTCACTGTAACATTGTATCAATATATCCCATCACTAGAATTATTAACAATTAATGGACACCATTTCTAAACAGAGAAAAATCTACAAAGCTGCTTGCATGGCTAGCCATTTAAAATAGCTATTATAAAAATGAAAAATATTCAATTTTATTTCATGATTTTAATTAGATATATTTATAAATTAAGTGCACTTTTAACCAACCTGATTAAAATGTTTTAAAAAACTATTATTAAAAACTGCATTTACTGCTTTTAAATATTGCTTAGTTTGTTAATCAATAAAAAAAAAACAGATCAAATTTGAAGATTAAATAACCTTAATAACCACACATTGGTGCATGGAAGATAAAAGCATTTTATTTCTGAAAGTGGCAACATATTTCTTTTAAATTCTGGAGTCTGTTGGTTAAGCTTGAAAGATAAATGTCATATGATTTGCCACTTAGCATATTCTTTTAAACTGGTGAGTTTGTTAATAAAAAATTCATTAAATTCATACACGACATAAAATAAATAAAAAATAGATTCAAAATTCGGGCTTCAAGGTGCATACGGAACAAAGGACTGTGTGTTCAGAATTTGGTGGTTAATGTGCTACTGTTTCCAAAACACGAAATGCACACACACATACAGATTATTAATTATTTAATAATACAGATTAGTTGTTGTAGTGATAACTTTAACATAATTTCATACCATAATTTTATGAAGGCTTTTTTTGCAAAGTATTTCATGTTTCAAATTACATACAAATAATATTCTACTTCAAAAGCTGGTTTGGTTTATTCCATTATGGTGAAGCATGCGAGGGCTATCGGTTTACAGGGAAGGATGCCTTCATGAAAACTTTCTAAGGAAAACTGGCTCATATTCACGTTACATATAGGTAAAATAACAAAAATGCACAAGCAGCTGGCCCATTCATTTGGAATCAAATCCAAGTCAAACTATCAATGTTAAAGACTTTACCACTTGGTAGAAAATAGGCTCTACTTTAAATGAATGTTGGCAATAAATAGCAAATGCCCGATTCAAAAGTAGGGGAAAAAGTCATGCATAAATAAGCCACAATAGCACAGAAATTGAATGTAATATCCATTCAAATGACATGTATAAATATGCATAGGTTTGAACACTCTCATGTTACTCTTTCAACAAAATTTAATAGAATTATTTCTTCTCCAGAAACATGAAAATATAACTAGATAGACTCCAAAAACTAGTGTTTAAAAAATATCAATGCCTTTTACATTTTTTAATTAATTTATTTATTTGAGAAAAGCATGCAAGAATTAAGAAAGGGATGTCTTTGTATATGTTTTGAAGATGACCAACCCATATTCATACCAGATGCAAAGTAAAACCATAAAAGCATGCATGCACTCAATCCATTTACTAGGATTCTAACTTGGATCAAACTATTAGTCTTTAGATGCAGGCTCTTTTCAGGAAAAAGTGGAAAAATCCTGCAAATATAACATTTTACAATCACTAATGGACTGAAATTGATTCAGATTTAATTAATTATGGTTATGTGCCTAATTAAAATAATGCCACTGAGAAGAACTTTACAAAGAAACTGGCTTAGATATACATAAAATATATTCTTGAATTCAAAATTAAGAGAATAAACACTTTTTCCCTTTTTAATTTCTCAAAAAATACTGAATAAAAACTGGAAAGTACAGATTAAGTAATAATGCTACGATGCTAGAGTTAAATCAGCAGTGTAGTGACCAGGTGTGGAAGAACAGTCCCAATATAGTCCATGCATGTCACAAGAGACAATAAAATAGATACCAAGTGTTAAGAATCCTGGCTTTTCAGGTTTGGGTTTGGGGTGTAGGGTTAATATCCCTACCTTGCAGAAAATTTCTTGTTACAAAATTCAATAAAGAAAAATCCAAGATGGCTCGATAGAAGCAATTTGGTAAATGAAATAAGTATATGGAAATTGGCAGTTGAAATGTTCTGTCTCTTTATAGAATGACAGCTTTACATTTGCTGCTGCAACAGCTGAGCATATGTAAAATTGATAGTATTTCCATTCAAGATATTAGATGGATTGGCAATGGGATTTTGAATAAATGGAATCATACTATTTTTTACAGCTGTCACCCTAAGAAATATATTGAGGGCAGGGGTTTTATTGTAAGCAAAAGAAAACAATATCTGATTTTGGATTTTGAAGTTGTGTAAGATTAGAAGACTGTGTAAAATTAGAATTCAGGGAATGTTCTTAAATTTTAGCATTACATGTGTTTATGTCCTTACCAAAAATAAGACCGATGAAGAAATGGAAACTATGATAATTTAGACAAAACATATAGTTGCCCAAGATATGATGTAAAGGTCACTGTGAGAGATCTGAATGCTAAAATGAGTGCAGAAAAAAAAAAAAAAAAAAAGAATTAAAATTCATAATTATTAATCTAACAAGGAACTAAAAAGCTTAAATTTGTAATTTAGGAGGATTTGATCTACAGGATACAACCAATGTTAGCGGACATTATTTAATAGATTTTGCCATCACATAGTATGATTATAGGCAGCATGCCTATCCTACTTAAAAATACTCATAAAACAACTTGGCACTTCCCTGTGACACTTAATGCAAATCAAAATGATCATGCTTTAATTGACACTAGGCATTATTTACACTTGATGGATGTGTGCACTTATTGTAGGGTTAATGTGGATTCTAAACATTTTTTGATTATGGCCAAGGTCAGATCAATAATCTTAAATGCAAAGAAGTTTACAGGAGTGACCTGGAGAGAATTTGACTGTAATAGCCTTAAAAATAATAAGATTAAACTTGAATTTATAGAAAAAATACTGTGATGGTACCATGGAAAGTAAATGGAAACTTATTAAGGATAATATCTGTGCTGCTGCAAATACAGTGATCGGTACTGTTGCTAAGAAACATGTTAAAGATTAGTTTGATGATGACTGTGCCTTAGATAAAAAGAATGATAAAATGGTTAATGCTCAAATTTATGTTAAAGTTTTAATAATAAAAAAGAATTATACTTATACACATATGATAACAGCACATACAAGAAATAAAGCTGAAGAGTACCATAGATTCAAATTAGACGAAAAGAAATTACAGTCAAAATCCTTTAATCCGGACTCGTCGGGACTATGGCAATTCTGGATTATAGATCATCAGTTTAAACCTGGTAAGATGGCATGCAGAAATTATAAAATTAAAAATATGAAACCCTAATTTATGAAATAAAGAGCAATTATGATCTAAAGGGTATCAAAATTTATAAAAAAAAAAAGCTTTATATTTATTTGTTTACTTTATTAAACATTTCTTTCAATGCGCGAATGTGTAAAGCATAACATTACGCATAGTCGAAATTAGAAAATGCAACCAGAAACTATTTGATGGCATTCGTGATATTATAATGACGGGAATTGATTTCATATCAAAGACAGAGTAATCAAGATGAAACTACATTAGTAAGGAATTTGATTTAAATCATATCAAAGACATCTGACTGAACATCAAGACAGTGCTGAATTCACTTACAGTTCATTGCGCGCCGCGTCGTCCCCCACCCCTCAGAAGCAGCGTGAAATTGATAAACATATTTCGGAATGATTAGAGAATCATAAGATATGCCTTTTTCCCTTTTTTGCAGCAATTCCACTTTTTGTTTGATGGACATTCGAAAACATGCTTTCGCTCTGTAGATCCTTTTGGTAGCTCCTGAATCGGAAATTCTTTTCTGACATAATCGAAAGTTCACGCGTACTTTTATAAAATTGCTCTAATAGTCTGCACAAAATAATAAGCCGGATCCAATTTGATGATTAAGGAACAACGCAATCTGCAACATTAACTGAAATAGATAACTTTAGCTTAGCTTATACCGTCCGTTATACATTAAATGCGCATGCGTAAACATATTATGCGCAAGCATAAACATATTATGCACATGCGTAAACATATTATGTGCATGCGTAAAGGTATTATGCACACGTGTGAAAGCATTATGCATTGCCACATGTGCATAATACCTTTACAGAAGTTTGTAGCTTTGAGGTCCGGATTATAAATCATTCCGGATTATGGACGTCCGGATTAAAGACTTTTGACTGTATTTAGAAGAAAAAAGGGGGTTTTGAAAAGGATTTATTTCAGGATGTTAAGCATCTGAAATGCATTAATGATTGCAGGGCATTCTATCATAAAACAAATCAAAATCAATTGGACTTGCAGACAACTAATCTCTGTAAAAACAAATCTTGCAAAATTCTTGCTTATAAAACAGGCTATTTTAAAAGAATGGCATGAACATTTTAATCAGCTTTTTAATGATAATTATGAAGATCATGCTCCTGTTGTTTTTGTATATTGCAATAATGTAGAAGTTGGGGCACTACCAATGGAAGAGATTAAAGCTAAAATTAAGAACTTAAAATTTAAGAAAGCTTCTGGGCATGATTGTATTTCAGCAGAACTATTACAGAACTGTGGAACTACCTTGTTAAAGAACACATTTCAATTAATTAGTAATATTTGCAACTTTGAGATTATGCCAACTGATTTGAATATAGGTATTCATACATACACAAGCAGAATATTGTTAAATTTAATAACTTAAGTGATTTATGTAAAAATGTAGTTTGTAAATTAAAATTGTCAAATTTTGTAAAATATGTGTTTGTAAAAGAAATGCAATTGGATATTGAGTTCAGGATTGAATGAGTTCAAGATATTCTGTCAATTTCATTTAAAACTAAAATGTTCATATATTTATATTGTTAATTTATTCTTTTGTACATGTAAGCAACATGTGTTTTGTACCTATAAGTAAATAAGTAACATGTGTTTTGTACATGTAAGTAACATGTGTTTTATTTTATATTACAAAGTTTGTAATTAAGTGTTATTTAATTTAGAAATTCAAACAACAAAAATCAGCATTATATTTGCAAATTTTCACAGGACTTGTTTCGATGGTTTTACTGAATCATCATCCTCAGATGCCAAAGCACAAATGAATTTTTATTGTTTGAATTCTAAATTAATACTTATTCACCGTATTATTTTATCTTAATTAAGTCTTATTTGTCGGAGTGGCTGGTAGATCTCATCAGTCTTTAGAGAAGTTTAGATTTGTAAAAGTTAAGCTCTCTCTCTCTCTCTTTTTTTTTTTTTTTTAAAGCAGTATGGTGGCTGTTCTGCTGTTTGTGGGCCTGGATGGTTCCATTTTAGAATTTAATGTCCCATTTATAGCTATACTAAGTCCTGTTACGCCCCTAACAGTAGTACAGGTAATTTTGATCAGATACACAAGCAGAATAAACAATTAATGCGAGATTTGAATAAGCATTTTTTACATTGATAACAAATAAACTACTTAACTATTATAGTGAAGGGTTTTTTTTAATTTTATTTTCATATTTCACACAAATTTTTTAATGTGACACCTTTTCTTGATAAAGTAGATATATATGTGATACTCCAGTGAATATTACAATTTACCATGGCCACCATATAGGTGATAAGTTGCAAAGGTTCTAGAGAATATTGGGGAGTGAAAGAACAAAAACAATATTCTTGACCTCTTTTCCCAAGAAAAGATTGCATAGTTAAAGTTTAGAGACTGAGGATGTTCCTGTATTAACTTGTCATTTCTTCACCTATTATATCCTAACCATTTTGGTGGGAAATTTGGATATTGTCTCTCTTTCTGTGACTAATTTTGACTGAGATACTGTTACAAATGGTTTCTGTTATGATGAGTTGGACAAATTATGATGAAAAAGGACATAATCAGTATTTTCATTCAGCTGTGGCATCAGCTAGCTTTCCAATGTGTCTAAATAAATTCTTCCAACAATGATGTCTGCTGCATCAGCAAAATCAAACACACTAAGCACTTGTGAATGACTAAGGCAAAGCACATGAGAGCTATCTGCCTAAAAGAATGATGCTTTTAAGGAGAATTTTACAAAGAGAACCTTGCTTACTTTTATGTTACATAAACACCCATGCAGCCAACTATCTTACGGAATTCAACTTTCAATCAAACTTAGCAATCTTACCCACGCTTAGCTACTGATAGACAAGCAGGTGTAAAACGCATTACAAAAATTATGGCATTTATTTTTATTTCAATACAATAAAATATGACATACATTGCATGAATTGTCAGAAAATAAAAAAAGCATTTATTTTTATTTCAGTACAATAAAATATGATATAGATTATTTGCAATAAATTTAAAAAATATTTCACAGAACTATGAATAACCCTCCATATTTTGTTCTTATTATCAAAAGATTTTCCTTCTCCCTGCTTATGTGAAAAATAGTATATGTAAGGCCAAAGAAGAGCCATTTTTCTCAATAAAATGAACTTTTTTTTTTTTAATCAAATGTAATGAAATACTCGTTTACAGTTTACACTGTTCCAAAAACTGATTGTTGAGATCTCCCATAGAGGGCGTTGTAGCACCCCTCAACTGTGTTGAGAAAAGTTTCGATTTGAGTGAGAGTTGGCGTGGGTTTTGAGAATCTAGTGTGAAGAGCTGTGTTAACATGTATTTGCTATGTAACTGTACTATGTAATATAATGTAATTAAATGTATTTATTTAAAATGTGGAGCAATTTTGAAGGAGCAAACTTCACACTGATATTAGACAGTTGCAGATATTATCAGGTTACTATAAATGGAATTAAACAAGAGAAATTCTTTTTTAATATTTGAATTTACACTTATTACTCCTACAAATAAACATCTGGAAAAGAAATATTATAATATGAAATCATTAAAAAATGTTACAATATGAAACCATTGAATACAAGTTTGAAATATTCTCCTGCTGTATAATACAAAAGTACAAACTTCATACATACCACTTGCAGAGACCCATCCAAGTATTTATGACATGACAAGTATGAACATATTGCTTGATTCACTTCTTCTGAAATGTAATGAAAAGTAAGAAATTTAAATCAACAAATATTCAGTTATACTGATTATCGCACCTAGAAGTATAACACTTTGTCATTATTACTAGTCATTATTACTTAAAATATTTATCCACTGAAGAATGAGAAACTGAAAAACTTTTTCTTCCACAATTAATTAGAAAAAATAAGAAAATTAACCACTTGCCTATTTTGTCTGTGTACCAAATGAGTGCTGCTTTAGAAACTTTACTGATTTGCTCATAGTATGTTGCTTTTATTGTTTTGCCCATACCTTATCTATATTAAATTAGTCAAATAGATTGCAGTAAACGTCCACTAAATGGTAGTTTGTAAAGTCTATTTTGTTTCATTATGACTGGTTCAAAAGCGCACACTTGTTTTGTATTATTTGCATGACTTGCGAATTCTGATCTTTCAGTGCTTAACTTTTTGCATGTATTTTACTGTTAATTTGATAACTTATATAAGTACAAATATATACAAATAGTTAAAACTGTTTACCATAAAATAAGGCTGATTCATATAATGCATGCAGCAATTTCTTATGATTCAGTATCAGAAACTAAAATGCCTGTTAATGAATCTAGGAATAACGAAAGTTCTCCAGACGACTTTGATACTAGTATAAAAACACAGAACTAAAGATATGACTTTACAATTTTGATTGATTGAAACTTTTGGAATAGACATAAATAATGTGCATACTTGTTTGTGGTTGCAACATGTTTGCTGAAATAAAAGTTGTATTAAATATACCTCGATTGTCAAATTTCTTATTCATTGTGAAATGGAGTTTCAGCATCTCTAAGCCATCAAAATTCTCACTGTTCATTACGGATTCAACTGCCTGCATTCTACCACAGAATCTATTACACACACACACACATATACAAAAAAATAAATTTTTATATAGGCTTCCCAAGAAGAAGTAGTTTTATGATGACACTCAAACAAAAAATATTCTTCTTATATCATCAAAATTATCTGATATATTTATTATTAAATTTTTGGGACATGGACTATAAATACGGCTAAGTTATCCAATTTGTTTTATCAGTTTTTAAATCTATACTCCATTCTGATCATAGTTCTAAATGATGCATTTTTATGTTAGGAAAATAAATTAACAGAAGGACTAATTTCCAAACTATCATTCATAAATAATTAATTTTACATTTAATGAATTTTCTATTATATTTCTCTAGTGGTCCTTTTGTTCTTCCTTGAAAGGCAGATAACTTGCAGGGATATTTCTAGTTCTTCTAATTTAAATGCATAGCTAAAAAAATCTGTTATCTTAGTGTTAGATACATTAAACTTCATTTTTCCTGAGCCTGAATTTCATTCTCTTTTAGTTCTAAAAAACACATAAGTTTCACTTTATATTATTGTGGAAGCTAATGCATCAAAATCTGAATGGACCAATAAGAAATATTGAATTGATAGGTCATTATTTCCTCGCATTTTACCTTCAGTTTTTTCCTTGCTCTTGAATCAATTCTTATTATTAATCTTAATGTCTATTCACTTATTGGTAAATCGCTACTTAAGACAATCTATATTAATTTCCTCGCCCTGAATGCGTTAAAATCCAAAATAAGATTAACAATACTCCTTATGGGAGGTGACAAATATTTCACTTAAAAAGCTTCATATAGGAACTACCATAGAGGGAAAAATTCGGACCTCGTGGGAATAAATAAGGTAGATTTTTTCTGAAATGGGCAAATAAATTTCTAACATCATTAATCCGGCATTTTAGGTTTTTTATTGACAAATATTTTTAATTTAATAATATTTAATAAGAGTTTAGCTTTATATAGTTAATAGCAATTTTGACAATGAAAATGTGACTTGAGCTGTCCCTATTAATAGGGTAATAAGTGTGTTACAATATTCCATCAAGTAGTGCTGTCGTCTTTATTCACTCCAAATCCCCATAAACCCCATAGGAACGTGAAGGAAGAAAATAATGTAACAACTGGTGTCAGGAAGAAAAAAAAAAAAAAAAAAAAAAAACAATTGGTGTCAGATGTGGGGTTTGCTAGTGAATGCCAGTGACCCGCCTGCAGGGGAAACCCATGGTGGAGGAAACGAAGACTAATATGGAAACGATGGACTTCTTGGCTGAGATGAAAGCCGGACAGGAAGAGATGAAAGCCAGACGGAAAATGTTAAAAGCCGGATATGATGAGATAAAAGCTGGATATAAAGAGGTGACAGCTGAGATCAAAGCCGGACTGAAAGAGATGAATGCCAGAATGGAAGAAAACCCGACGAGAAGAAATAAATGTCGTCCAAGAAAAGGTGCGAAAGCAACTCCGATAGGTGAAAGGGGAGCTTACAGAAGAAACTGGAGCCATAAAAGATGATGTGGAAATGAAAGAAGTGGCATCTGAAGAATCAAAAGATGAAGGAAGTAGCTAATGAACTGCCTGGTAAAGATAAAAAAATGATGGATAAAACATCTAATGGGATTAAAGGAAAACAACGAAAACATGAATAAATAAAAGACGGGAAAGAAGCTTTCGATTCACAAGTGCCTTAAGTGGATAAAAATGAAAGTGCGACTGTTAAGTTCATCAAAACTGATAGTGAAGTTACGAAGTCGCAGGCACAAGTGTTGAACCATCTGAAAGTCCATGTGATGCAGAGATGGGAGACGCTGAAATGAAGCTTAAGCAGTGCACTCTAGTATTGCAAAAAAATTCATCAACTTCACAAACTGGGAGTGTGCCTCATAGTGCAGGTTTTGCAGACAAGGACTTGATTCTTAATCAGGATACTTTTGCTCGTAAAGAGTTGGATTCTGTTCATAATTCTAATGCAAACATCGAAACTGGTTTTCAAGAAATCGAGGTAAATAAGCATATACCAGCTGCTAAAATTACTGAGAAGAACTGTACACATGATGTGAATAAATTACAGAGTGATGAAAGAACTGTTTTAGACTTTTCTACGGATAGAAAGTCTGAAAGGACTGAATCTTCAGACTGTGATCTGAAAAACAGGAATACATCTGAGAACTGTAGTGGAAAAGTTTTTGACCTGGGTATAACTTAATGAAAAGATTGAGATTGAAATTCAATCTGAACTTTAATTTGTATAATTTAAAATTGTTATGTGTTAATTTGTGTATATAACTTGTAAATAGTGTAAATGTTTGTTTCTTTAGTTATGTTTTTGTTTTATTATGTTTTGTTTGTATTGAATGTGGCTTGTGACCAAGGGTTGTACTGCCCGGGATGTGCAGTCCTTGAGAGGGGGCAGTGTTATAAAATGTACAGGCACAGTGAGATGGCTTCCATGCAAAGCAGTTTTTGGGTTGTCATAAAATGGCAAGGGAAGGTAGGGTTGCCACATTTGGCAACATTTGGCGATATGCCACTGATGGATAGAGAACCTTCTGGAATGAATTCTTACCGGTTTAGCCCAGAATATTCTCGAACACAAGCCGAAAGCTATATAAACCCTGCTCGTCCGCAGTCAGTGTGCCTCATAGAGTGCAAGGTAGTTAGTCTCGAATTAGTTAGTTCGTGCGGAGAGTCGATCGAGTTGACAGCCGGGCAGTGAGTGCCGAGTGGGTCGCCGAGTGCATCGTAGAGTCCCTTAGTTTATCGCAGTTAGTGCATCGTCGAGAAAGTGTTTTAAGCTCCGGGAACGACTGAACCGAAGAGTCGGGAGCTGTGCTCTGTGTGTTATCGAGTGCATCACGAGTTGTAGCATAGAAAGTCTCGAGAGTATGTGGAGTTCTGAGAATGACCGAGCAGAGTCGGGAGCTGTACTCTGGTGCTTTGCAGTGAAGCTGTCTCCACCGTTATTGCCTGACAGTGTGAATTGTTCCAGCGAGTTTATAGCAGATCTTTGACAACTGTAAAACATGACTTTTGAACTCTCCTGATTAATATTGTTAAATAAAGTGTGTTTCGATATTCCATCAAGTAGTGCTGTCGTCATTATTCACTCCAAATCCACACGAACCCGGTACGAACGTGAAGGAAGAAAATAACGTAACAATAGGCGTCAGAAAAAAATGCAACAATATATATAAAATATACAGATGTACATAAAAAATAATATATATATGTTTTAGTTTTCTGATTATAAATTATTATGAATTATTGGTTTAAAAACAAAACAATATATATTAACATATAAAAAACTATATATAATATTATAAAATAAAATAGACGAAACATAATAAAGTGCAAACAATGGTACGTTACTTAAGGGAAACATTTTCAAAAATTTCACCTTCAATGTCCTGAAATTCTTTGTCAAGAATAGAAGGTAAAAGACCTAGTAAGCACTGTCTCATGACAAACTGGAAGGAAGGAAAAAGTTAATATTAGTAAAACATTATACAATCAAATTGGGAAGGCATCATCATTAATGGTTAATGAAACCTAAAAAAAGTATGTCCTCTATTAAAATTCTAGAAAGCAAGGACTTTTATTTATAATGTAAATATCAATGTTAGATGTAACTTTATCATACTCAACAGTAACAAATAACTTTCAATCTACAATTAAAATTTAAAAAAAAAAAAAAATACAGATTTTATTATATTCAGTTAACAAATAATTTTTCTCAGTAGTTAATTTTAAATCTGAAACATATTGCAGCAGTGATAAAAAACTATATGAACAATAGCTCTTGATTTACTGAAGCTACAGAACCATTTCCCAAAGGCAATCAATGCAAAAATTTTGGAACATTATCACATCAGTAAACAAGCAAATAAGCATTAAAAAAAATGTGTCCCCCGCCGAATCAAATAAAAGTAATTATTAAAAATAATTTGCATCATGAAAAAAAAGAAAAGTTATAAAAATTTAACCGTTGCTTATTTCTACAGAAATTATGCCACCATTTTTTTTCTCCCACTTTTGGGGGAGAGGAAGAGCAGCATCATTAAATGCTTTTAAAAAATTAATAAATACTTCTCTATTTGGCAATTGACAAATCTACAATCTCGTTCAAGGGGAAAATAAACTTTCTCATATCTAACCCTAAAAAGCCAACAAAATGGGGACTTCAAGTTTATGTTTTATCAAATTCTAAGACACGTTACTTATATACATTTGTTCTCTATTATGGTAAAATTACAACAGATGGTTTAATTAGACCAGATCTTAATTTCACGATCAGAGTTGTGATGCAACTATATCAAAATTTACAAAATTCAATTCCTGAAAGTAAAGGGCATCATATTTTTACTGACAGACTTACCTATTTTACAAACCCCACTTTAGGTGAAAAACTTCTAAAACCCAATTGTGTTCTTACTGGAACAATTATGACCAATCGAAAAAGATTGCCAGAATAAATAAAAAAACCAAAATTAGCTGTTGGACATAAAATTGTTTATAGAAAAGGAAAGGCATAAGTAACATGGTGTGAGAAAACTGTAGTCACAATGTTTAGTACAAAACAATCTTCTATTTCACAACCTGCGAGAAAAAGATCAAACACGACTGAAAATGCTAGTGAAAAAAAATTAGCAAATCGACTATCATATTAGATTATAATAAAAATATGGGTGCAACAGACAATTCAATGAATATGCTATGAAGTAAAATATCAAAAAGATGTCACACAAACTTTAGAGGAAAATTTATTGATGAGTCTGATCAAAGACTTACATAATCGTACACAAAAAAACCCGGCCGATTGTCCACAGATGATGCTATCTAATGTTTAGATGGCAAGACTCATTTTATTTTTTCTTATAAAAAACACAAGAACTGTATGGTATGTTCCAAATGGAAGGTCAATGAAGGGAGAAAAGAAACAACATTCTGTTGTGATACAGATTTGATAGGAAACCCAGTCTTTACCTAGGAGAATGTTTAATGAAAATATCATACTTTGAAAAATTATAAATAATTAAGTTAAATAAATTAGTTAAATATATAAATTTATATTTACTTACTATCCTACTACTTAATATAACCGAAAAACTATTTGTTACACACATTGTGCTGTTGCAATACAACCTTTTATTGAGACAATCTTTTTTTATCTATTTGGTAAATGAATTAAAGAGTTGTTGGTTAGTAGGAGGAAAAAAAACATTAACGAGTGGAAAGGGTTAAATCATAAAATTCAGCTCAAGAGCAATATCGCAAAATAATTTTTAAATGAGCATATCTTTAGAAGTTATGATACACAGTCTTGAGTGCTGGAGATAAAAACATTTTTTCTGTTTAATGTTGCCATTGCTCACTTTGAAATCCTTGAGTTTGTTAATCAAAAATTCATTAAAATTTTACAAAATATGAAATTGATAATAAAACAAATTTCAGATTTGGGCTTCCAGATACTTATATTCTCAGGAGAATTGTTATTTAAAACTGGATGGCTCTAGTACCATTGTTCATACCATGCCGAAACATACATTTATGCAGATTCTTCATTATTTAATTCCTTTAAATATAATACAGGTGATAATATCTGGTGGTAACAATTTGAAAAGTGAACAATACTTATAGCGAATCAATGCAAAATGATAAAGCAAAATTTATAGTCCTTCTGGGCAAACTGCCCCTTTGGACTAATCATAAAATGCAGTACCTGCATTAAAATACTACTTTGAAATATAATACAAATAGTCACTATCTAACTGTGCTTCTACAAAATGCTATATAATTTTTCAGTATTACAGCCTCAGCTTAGGCTGCGAGATAAAAATCTAGTTAAAAAAATAAAGACTATAAGGGATTCGAAAATGTGTCTGCGTCAATGGAAAAATCAAGCATATCCTCATCTAGAATTAGTTGAAAAGATATTGTATATTTTGCCGCATTAGGGAAGCAAGACTGCGATACCAAAGCGCCCCATTTCGAATCCTGGAGAAAGTATGTATGTAAAATTGTCTGTCCCTTCATAGGAGGTAACGATGGCCGCCTATCAGGTGCCTCAACAATAAAGTGCCACTACATCTGGTCTTAGTAGTGGCCAAATGCTCGAGATTAGAAAATATATATATATGTGATGTACCAGCTTTAGTCGTAGCTTAAATTATCAGATGATAAGTTAAAAAAAAAAAAAAAAACAGGATCCATTTATTATTATTCAGGAGAAATAGCAGTTACAAAAATCAGATATCCGGAGTAAATAAAAAGAATTACTAATAACTTTTTGTATGAAGTTTACTGCATCGTGACATTTAAGAAAAAGCCTCCGATATTCTTTTGCGAGTCCTTTTATAGCCTCTGGAAAGGCAGAGCTTCAAAGAAAATGACGTCAGCCAATCCAGTTCGCTTTAAATATTTCCAGAACATTCTATAACTGTACGTGTAGAAAAGGCGGGAAAAACAACTTGACTACAGGGATTTAATTCCATGTACTTTCAAATAAGAGAACGTCACCATTAAAAATGAAAAGAACATACAGTTAGAATTTTAAGTGTATTCTTGACTATGGAATTTTATTATTACAAATATATATTATATATTTTACATACTTATATCTTTTTAAAATATACAGTTTCTAAACAATGAAAAAAATTAAATATATTATATGTAAGTAGATATATTTATTAATAATATTATTAAAATACATTAATACAATTTATTATTATGTACACATTATTCTTGCCTTTGATAAAGCAAATTCATCAGTTTCTTCATCAAAGTCAATCATTTCAAAATTTGACTTTCCACATTTAAAAATGCTAAGTCACTTAGGCAATCTTGTCCCAAATGAATTTTTTCGCATATCTGCAAATAATGTTAGTTTGCTGAACAAATGCTCACAGCTGGCAATTTACACTGAAATAGTAAGTATTTAAAGTGTGACTTTCAGGTATGGAAAAACATTTTCTCCATGCAAGATTATAAAGGTTAGAAACTCTAATGGAATCTTAGGTTCAATTTCTTTTCTACTGCGGAGTAACATCTTGCTGTCACATAATTCGACATAGAATTTTGTTCCATTAAAATCCGTACTATAAAATTCACCCAAATTTTTATAATTCTTTTCAAGGTCATTATCAACATTATACTTGTTTAATAAATTTTCAGCATTCATAATAAATATCCAAATTTGGACCTAAAGTCACTTATTCATGTATTTATTTCCTTAATTAATTTGGATCATGTACTTATTTCCTGCTGCAGATGATCAGGAATGCTTTTCATAATGCGAGAAAGTTTACTTTCTGCGACAATTCTATCCAATTCTTTGGGCATTTTTCGGTGTCTTCAAACACCGATTGTTGCATTTCTTACAAAGAGACTTAGCCTTTGCTATTGCCTCTTCACAGATCTCACCTCAAATTTCTGCAAGTTCAGTCGCTAATGCTTCAAGATCATACAATGTTTAGTATCTTGTAATCTGAGCTGCACACAATCAGTTCTCCTCAAAAGTTCATGCCAGAAATGGATTGAGTTATGAAATTAAAATTCAGTGTATTTTGCTATAAAACTGTAGCTTCACTTCTGGTGTCATTTCTGGTAGAACTGTTCTGCGCTAATTTTTCTAACAGCTCTACTAATTTTTTCCACCTACCCACAGTAACAATAACTGCTTGTGCTCTGGCACGTGATCTTCTTTCAGATTCATGTTTAACAGTTTTCTTTAAAGCATTTTTTAATTCCCATAATAATGCTGAATGTGAGGAAAAGAGCTATATGTTTTCAACTATTCCAAAATGTATTACAACAACTGAATCTTGCTTAGCTGCAGTAAATGCGACTAAATTTAGTGAGTTGTTATCGCACTTTACAAATAATGCTTCCTTTTTTCCCCATAATTCTTTGTTAAACACTAGATATATGGCCTGAATCAGAGCACAGTTGCCATAACATTTTAATCTACAGTCTCTTAATGAAATCTAACTGAAATTTAATTTTTCTAAAATTGTATTTTCAACTGAGGTTGCATATTTAGCATGTATTTCAATAAATCCTGAAAAAGAAACTTTTCTGCTAGTAAAATCAATAACTATGTACCTAAAATTCTGCACCATTTGTTCTCAGTGAGCAATATCAGGAGTCAAATCAAATAAAGGTCCATAATATTTATTTTTTATGTCACTTATTAGTTGATTAATTTAGCTTGGCATCCAAATTAATAATAGTTCAAGGTTAAAGGGCTTACAATATAATAAAAGATTATGGTGAGCTATATGTGCATTTTGTTAAAAAAATAAAAATATTTCCTTATTTTAGAAAAATAAAAGTGTTTTGATTGATTTACTGCAAACATTATTTATAATATACTTTATCAGACAAATCAAGAAGGGGAATAATAAATTATATTACAATTATTATTAATTTAAAATTTATTTTCCAGAATTTGATCAAAATATAAAATGGAAGTTTTCCGGAAAATCTTGTTTGTCTTGGGGACCATTTGGCGTCCCTCTGTGAGCTGCGCCCAGGTCATGATAAACCCCCTTGCCCTCCTTTTGCTACACCACTGGCTAAATGATTTACAATTAAGTATTAATGAAAGTCACAGATGGGTATTAAAATGCTATAAGTATTTATTTTTTATAAACTACATTATAATTTATACCTGAGTTGATGGCGAGGAAATTCAGATATTACTTTCTGAATTTTCCCATTAATTTTCATATTTATGAAATTAAGACCATGCTTAGCTTTTTTTTTTTTTTTTTTTTTTTTTGCTGAGTTTACTTTTAAATCATATGTAATGAAACCAGATCTAAATAAAAAGACTAACCTTACATTTCTTCTGTAACTGGAACATTTTTTTATCATTGCATAGTGTTTTGCTTTGATGATAATGAAGGCTTGGGAGACTGTCTGATGAAAGTTTAAGTTTCTCTGTTTCAATGGCAGCCAGTATTACTTCACAACGAAATATATCACAAAAATTGGCAAAACATGTTGCATCTTCCTTCTGTATATAGAGAACATGATTAGTAAACCAATATTTTTCAGCATTTTCATACTAATATATATACTGAAAATCTTATAAACAAAAATCTCAATTACTTGCATTCCCCTCTCCTCAAAAAATAAAAGGAAGCTCCATTTGTTTTTTCTACATTAGTTTCTAGAAAATTTATTTATGTTACATATTTTCAAATGAAATATTAATCCTTCATACAGTCAAAAGTCTTTAATCCAGACTCGTCGGGACTTCGGCGATTCCGGATTATTGGTTTTTCCGGATTATAGATCATTAATTTAAATCTGGTAAGATGGCATGGAGAAATTATAAAATTAAAAATATGAAACCGTAATTTATGAAATAAAGAGCAATTATGATTTAAAGGGTATCAAAATTTACAAAAAAAAGCTTAATATTTATTTGTTTACTTTATTAAACATTTCTTTCAACGCGCGTATGCGTAAAGCATACATTATACATAGTCGAAATTCGAAAATCGCAACCTGAAAACTATTTGATGTGTATTCATGATATTTATAATGATGAGGAATTTGATTTAAATCATATCAAAGATGGAGTAGACATGAAATACTACATTTAGTAAGGAATTATAAGCCGAATAAAATAAAAACATCTGCCCTGAAGATAAGAATAGTGCTGACAGATCAACTTCCAGTTCATTGAGCGCGGGATGTCCCCCCCCCCTGCAGCGCCGGGTCGTCTCCAATGCAGAGCAGCGTGAAATTGATAAACAGATTTCGGAATGTTTAGAGAAACAAAGGATATGCCTTTATTCATTTTTTGCAGCAATTCCACTTTTTGTTTGATGGACATCGAAAGATGCTTTCGCTCTGTAGATCCTTTGGCAGCTCCAGAACCGAAAATTCTTTTTGACATAATTGAAAGTTCAAGCTTACTTTTATAAAATTGCTCTAACAATCTGAAAAAAATAATAAGCCGGATCCAATTCGAAGATCAAGGAACAATGCAATCTGCAACATTAACTGAAATAGATAATTTTAGCTTAACTTATGCCATCCATTATACATTAAAAGTGCATGCATAAATGCATTATGCGCATGCATAAATGCATATGCATATGTGTAAAGGTTTAATGCGCATTCGTAAACGCATATCTGTATGCGCGGAAGGTTTGTAGCTTTGAGGTCCGGATTATAGGTCATTCCGGATTATGGACGTCTGGATTAAAGACTTTTGACTGTATTATGTCTAAATAATTTGACAAAAATTAGCAAGAGAACCAACCACATGAATAATTTGCAAAGAAATTCTTTAGTCTCCCTAATGCAGTCTGTGGAGTCTTTCATGTGCATAATATTATAACTTCGCTTCTTTTAGTATTTTTGTGTTATAGCAGCCAGTATAAAAGAAAACCGTGCGGCACAAACTGCACAAAATGAAAAATATTAGTACAAAATGTATAGGAACAATAAAAACACTACAGAAAAAAATAAAACAACAAAATTACACTTATTTGTTGCATAGTTTCTCACCGACACTTATTTCATCCACACTCTTTCATCAACTGCTATTAATATGACTTTAATTATGACTGCTATTAATATATTTTTTTATTTCCTATTCATCAGCCTAATATAACCTCTACAAGGTACACTATGCAAAAAAAAAAATATATAGGACAGTTCTATATCTCCCATTCTACTGGACCGATTGATGAAATTCAACTTGCGTTTTTCATTTCTTGAAAATGTGACTTAAGATATGTATTAGACTTATAGACAGGATTGTTCTAATGTAGGTATTTTGAGACAAAAATTGGACTTGACATGCCAATTTTTTTTCCATATTTTGATTCTACGATTCAAATTATGTCAAACTGCCAAGTTTTGTAAGAATCACAAGAGTAGTTTTTAAAAAATTAGCTCTCAAAATTTTAGCTCCTCCATATTAATTGAATTTGGTATATATTTATAAATATCCCTTTTTCTATGAAACTTATTTGATTCTTCCTTTCATATTTCAAAATTTAGGTTCATTCCAAATAAAATTCACTCAATTTTATGATTTATTTTTTAATTTGTATTTTTAAATATTTTTCATGAATTTTTTGAAAACATTTTTGTACTATAACCTACAAAAGTTTTACCATTACCTTAAAGTAGATGTACTTCTAAGCATACCTGCAAAAATTAGAGATTTTTATTCAAAATTTCCTAAGATATACATGAATTGACATTTTGAAGTTTGGCATATTTGTTTATAAGTGATAATAACGCCAAATGCAGTTTACGCACTTCGTTAACATAAGCGATAATAACGCCAAATGTGGTTTACGCACTTCATTAAAACTATTTGAAAGTATGAACGATGACTTTTTCCCCGCCAGTACACAATTAAAAAAAGAAAAGGAAAATAGTTGTCTATAAATTAAGAAGTTCGCTATGTGAATTATTCTTGCCGCAAACTGAAAAAAAATGCAAGACAAATTTTTCGATTTCTCCATAAATTTTGCACCAACTTTTACAAAATTTAATATTTAGCATAATTTGAGTTATAGAATTGAAATATAAATTGGCATGTCATTTCAGAAAAAAGTCCGATTTTGTGTCAAAATACCTATATTACAACAATGCTATACGTAAATCAAATATGTATTTTAAGTCGTGCTTTCGAGACATGAAAAAGGCAATTTGAATTTTGTCAATCGGCCCAGTAGAACGGGAGATATAGAACTGTCGCTTTTTAACAGTGTACAACCCCTAGGTAATGCCAAGTCATGTGTAACAAAAACTCTTTCTAGAAAATTTCCGTTTATCCCATTATAGGACATGCAAAAGTAACCACAAAATGCAGCTTAGCATTGACAATAAAAGCATCTGGAGCTGAAAAATTGAAAGTCGCAAGAGGAATAAATCTATTCACATTGAAAATTGGTTCTATATTTCGTGGCTACCATTTCTAAAAATACGGCAGTATTTTACTTTTGGCTGGGAAGGAAAGAACTTCTGTCCATAGACTGAGATAAGCAACAGTTAAAAGACGTGAAACAGTTGTTGAATGAAACAATTATGTTGTCTGTGTGAGGTGTTATCTAAGATCAGTTTTCAGTCAACAACCAGTTTTGGTGATTAATCACAGATGGAGGTGACGAATTTCTTGCATGGTAGCTGCAATAACACAAAAATGGCTTCTTTATTTAGTCAACTTTAATGAAACTGGTAACCCCCCACCCCCAAAAAACTGAAATGAACATGATTAATATTCTTTTCATGCATTACCATACCTAAATAATGCAAAAGCAAACTATCAAAGTAAAAAAAAAAAAGCTGCTTGAAGTTTCAAACATGGATCCTCTTACTGTATTTCTTTGCTCTTCACTAGTGCTATACACAGCCCTGCCATTTGATAGATGAATTAGGCTACTGCATGACAACTTGGTTGCCTCTCATTTGTCACAAGACTGTATTACATGATACGGTTTTATTTCTCTTATTAAGACTCATTCATGTACAGCAAAAAACCAAGAGCTTTGCTACACTTATAACAATATATTTATTATATCCCACACATATAATCAACATCAATTTCAAACATCCTATATTTACTGAAAAAAAAAAAAAAAAAAAAAACTTTTAAAAATACACATTTTGTAACTCCCACTAATTTTTTATCTTGTGAGTCAATTCAATTGTTAGAGGTTAGGATATATCAGCTAGTCTCAACAGGCTGCATAAATGATGACTATTTTCTGCATATTTCCATATTTTCAGTCCTTAATAATTAAGCATTAAGATGTATTTATGCAATAAAATATTGTTAGTAACCAATAAAAATAATGCTTTAATAGAATTATTTTTATCAGATTTTGTTTCACGGATAGTATAGGATTGATTTAACTAAAAAAAAAAAAAAATAATAATGCATGCGAAAGTTACAAAACATATCCAAATTACTTTGAAAAAAGTTATATGTTATCACATTTTCTACAACTCATTAGCTATCCTTTTATTAAAATGCATGGTCCTACTCAGGCGGAGAATTCTAGCAGTATTCGAGCTAAATTTTTCTATTTTGAAAAAAACAGTTTATCATTAGGAAAATAGTGTCATCAGATATTAAGGTTCTTATTCGAAGAAGAGGTAATCTGAAGGCACAATTAAAAGGCTTTGTGACTAATGATGACCCAAACTTCGATACTACAGAATTGGAATATAAGCTGGACAATGTTCAAATCATTTCAACTAAACTGGAAGAACTTAAAAGTGAATTTTACGGTGTTTTAAAGGATGAAGAATGCAAAGAGCATGAAATCATCTTTTCGAAAATGGAGATTGACCTCGAAAAAATTTAGGTAAGTCTTAGACGTTTTTTAAAAGAACTGGACACTACGCCCAGTAGCAAATATAGTATTTCTAACAATAAAGCTGTAGTATCAAATAAATAAAGTTCAGTTAAACTGTCAGAGATTCCCTTGCCTAAATTCAATGGAAACTACCAAAAATGGTTTCTCTTAAAAGCTCAATAACAGATGATAATGAGTATTCAACCGATTCACAAAAGCTGTATTATTTACAATCAGCTCTTATTGGGAAGGCAAAAGAAATTCAAATCACGGATGATACTTATGAATCTCTGTGACAAACGGTTATAGCCAGATTTGAAAATAAATGGTTAATAGTTAATAGTCATGTTAATGAACTGTTATCGATTCCTAAAACACATCATGAATTGCCAAAAGAATTAAGAATTTTAATTGACAGAGTGTACAAGCATCTACAAGCACTAAAATTAATGGAATTAAAACCTAATGAGTTAACCGAAATAATGTTAATCAATTCAATGCTAGAATGCTTAGATAAAGAGTCAAGACGTCAATTTGAAATGTCTTTAACCTCTACAGATCTGCCAGATTGGAGATCTTTTTCAGATTATTTAGAAAATCGATGTTAAAACCTGGAGAATATGCAAGGAATTCGGTTACTTGTTAAAAAATTAGACTTATTCCAAAGCAAATTAAGAATCAGAATTTTGTTGTGAAGTCCGATTCATCAAAATGTGTGCTTTGTAAAAATATTCATTCATTGTATATGTTCATTATTTTTTAGAAATGGAACCTATAGAAAGATTCAATGTTGTAAAAAAGCATAAAATATATCTAAACTGTTTAGATATGTTACACAAATTGAATTCTTGTACTTCTAAATATACATGCTGTTTTTGTAAAGGCAACCATAATTCGCTTTTGTGTTGCAATCAAAACAGTTATCGTACCAATGAACCAAATTCTCAGGTTTCGGAAGTTTCACTTAATCAACCTCAGGAGCCAGCAGTACTTTCAGAGAAGGAATTTCTGGCAGATTTAAAGGAAGTTACACAATCGCAGAATTTTTCAACATGAAATGAGTACAAACATAAAACTGTTCTCTTGGCAACTGCTACAGTTTGGGTGTGGAACACCCAGAATGAATGCCTGCTATAGTAAAGGATGTTGTTTGTCAGACTCATGCAGTCAAGCGAACTTTATAACTTCCGAATTTGCAAATAATTTGCAATTGAGAAGGGAACTAATAAAGATGCCTGTTAGTGGCTTGGGTGGAAATATGACAAATGTTAAATTTTAAACTAGAGCACTTGTTACCAATGGAAATTCTTCCTTTTCAACGTATGCAGATTTTTTGGTTGTACCTAAAATAACACACTTTGTACCTGCTACCAGAATAAATGTAGAAAATTTGAAAATACCAGCATATATTTAGTGGATCCAGATTTTGACAAGCCAGGAAGGATTGACCTCATATTGGGTGCAGAATGTTTTTGCGAATTAGTGAAGGAGCGAAAGATACGATTATCTAGTACTTTCTTTTACCAAGATTCAATCTTCAGATTTATTGCTACTCGGTTCTTTGAAACTGAAAATTCACATCAATATTGTGGGCTAATCTCCCAGTCAGAAAGTTTAGAAGAATGTGTACATAAATTTTTGGCAAATCGAAGAAATAGCCAACAAACTCGTTAGAAGCGAAGGAGAGGGGTTTTGCGAATTGCATTAGCAGAAGACACATAGGAAAAATGAGAGTGGGCGTTTCTAGCACAGATGCCTAGAGAAGAAGCACTTCATCAATTAGGTGATTCAAGAAACAATGCTAACAAACATCTTAATCAGACGATTAAAAGGTTAAATAAAAACCCAGACCTAAAAAGGCTTTATACAGATTTTATCAATGATTACGAAAGCTTAAATCATATGGAAAGGGTTGAAGAAGAAAATTCTCCACCCATTACTTTTTATCTTCCTCACCATGAAATTTACAAGCCTGAAAAATCATCTACAAAATTGCTCATTGTGTTTAATGCATCAGCTCCTACTACTTCAGGATTGAGTCTGAACAACATTTTACTCTCAGGAGAGGTTAAAGAAGATATTTTTGATTTAATTGTTCGATTTCATAAACATAAAATAGCACTGGTTGCAGATACTAAACAAATGTTTAAACAGATTTTAATCGATTCATCGCAAAAGAATCTTCTATGTATCTTATGGAAAGAGCATGAAGACGACTCACCTAGTACTTTCACATTGAACACTGTTACGTATGGGACTAAATGGGCTCCATTTCTAGCTATAAGAACTCTAAAACAGTTAGCTTTGGATGAACAGCAGAAACACTCTTTAGCTTCTGAAGTGATTCTTTCTGACGTCTATATGGACGACATAGTTACAAGAGCCTCTGATATCGAGTCTGCTATTGAATTAAAGAATCAACTAATAAAGATATTCAAAAGCTGTGAAATGTCTTTACATAAATGGAACTCTTAAGAATCTATTAGACATTTTAGTATCTAAGGAAGAGTTTCACTTTAATTCCACTGAATTTACGAAAATTCTTGTAATAATTTGGCAACCAGAATCTGACATCTTTACTTTTAAAGTTGCTTTCCAAGGCAAGTCATCTTTTACAAAAAGAGATGTCCTTTCAGTCATTGCTCGGTTGTATGATCCTATTAGTTTTATCGGGCTAATCATTTGTAAAGCAAAAATATTTTTTCAGAAACTATGGTCTTTAACATTGAACTGGGATGATGAATTACCTGAACCATTTGCCAGTGAATGGAATCTTTTCATTTTAAAGTTAAAGGAATTAGAAAATCTTAAGATAGGAAGATATGCTCTGCATTCTACAACCCATAAAAAAGCTATCGTAGGTTTCTCCGATGCTTCAACCTCTGTGTATGGAGCAGTGGTCTACCCAAATGCCATTCAAGATAACTCTTGTTTAGAGTTACTGGCAATCAGATCCTGAGTAGTCCCTTTAAGGTCTCTTTCTTTACCATGTTTAGAACTCTCAGCTTGTCTTCTACTTGCTAAGCTTGATAAAAGAGTTCTGACTTCGCTAAATATAGACACTGAAAAGAAAACATTATATTCGGATTCAACAATCACATTAGCATAGATAAACGCTTCTCCACATCAACTTAAAACCTTTGTTGGAAATCACGTTGTGAAAATTCAGTCGTTATCAGAGAACTTTGAGTGGAAACATATTTGTTCTAAGGAGAATCCTGCTGATTTGGTTTTTCGTGGAGTCAAGCCTAACGAACTTTTATCTTCAGAATTATGGTTCAATGAACCTTTTAATCTTGACATGAATGTTACAGAAAAGGCCAGTTTGTTAAGGACTATAAACTTTATGAATGCGAATTGAAAAAAATCTCCAGAAATTTCTCTTAGTATTACTTCTAGTGCTGACTTCGTTAACTATTTTCTTTTTTTAAGTAATAGTTTTGTTAAACTAATTTGTATTCTTAGTTTTATTTATAGGTTTATTTCCAACTGTCAGCAAGGTAAGAGGTCATCAGGTCCTATTACTAGAGATGAATTTACGTGTGCGAAGCTAGCCATGGTAAGGCTAGTACAGCTAATAGTATTCAAAAGAGAAATTCAAACCCTTAGATATGGTAAAAAAATAAAGGATAGTCATTTAAGTAATTTAAATCCTTTCGCTGACGAAAATGGAATACTTAGGGTTGATGGCAGACAAAATAAATCATCTTTACCCTATGGCCGAAAGCATCCTGTTCAGCTTCCTAGGGATCATAACTTAACTACTTTAATTATGCAACACTTTCATTTATAAAATTTACATGTTGATGCTCAAACTTTGCTGCATTGTGTTCAAAAGGATTTTTGACCACTAAACGGCAGAAACAATGCTAGTAAAATAGCACATAACTGCATTATCTGTTTTAAAAATAAACCCAAAAATAGCCCAACAGCTTATAGCACCATTGCCGAAAGAAAGAGTTTCGATGAGTGCCCCTTTTTCCGTAACTGGAATTGATTTATGTGGACCCTTTTACATAAAATATAAAAATCAACGAAGAGGTACCTTAAAATAAGATATATGTTGTTATTTTTGTATGTTTAGTTACTAGAGCGATACATCTTGATTTTGTTACAGATCTAACATCGCAGGCTGTAATTGCAACATTAAAAAGATTTTTCGCACGATGCGACCTTAGCTTAACTATACATTCGGATAACGCTACCAACTTTGTCGGAGCCAACTCCAATATGAAAAGGCTGTTAAACCTTGTCAAAAGTTCTCCTAGTCTGTCATCGTATTTAGCTTCTGAATCAATCGTTTGGAAATTCAATCCACCGCATTCTCCCAACTTCAGTGGTATTTATGAGGGCAGAGTGAAATCTTTAAATATCATCTAAAATGAACTACCGGAAATGCAAAATTGACTCTCGAAGAATTTTTTACTGTTATAAATCAAACTGAAGGTATATTAAATAGTAGACCTTTATTACCTTTATCTTCAGATCCCAATGACTTCAAAACTTTGACCCCTGGTCATTTTTTAATCGGAAAATCTCTTAATGCTCTGCCTGAACCTTGTATAACAGAAATTCCCGACAATAGACTTTCCCGCAGGCAGAAAATTGTCAAAATTAACCAAATAATATGGAAGAAATGGTATAGAGATTATCTAAACAATCTTCAACACAGAAGTAAATGGTTCTTTCAAAAGGACAATAAAAAATAGGTACTCTTGTATTAGTTAAAGAGGATAAACTACCTCTATGTACATGGATAGTGGGCCGTATCTATGACACCATCCCTAGAAGCGATGGTAAAATCCATGTTGTTGTTATCAAAATGTCTCAATGACTGATAAAACATGGAAAATCAAACCTATGTATTCTACCCTATAAACGACTGATGTAGTAAATTTATGTTATAATTACTTGTATTTTGTATTAATATTGCATATCTATTTTATTGTAAAATGTAGTAATTTGTTTGTTATTTGTTTAATGGATATATTATTGCATTTAATCGTTTCAAACTGATATATGTATTTAACATTGAATTCTTAAATAATATATATTAGTTTTGAAATTAGTATCTCAACGCCGGGCGGGATGTTGGCACCTGATCGTCTGTTATACGAAAATTTTCTCCTCTACAAATCTTGTAACGCACATATGTGAATATAGTTTAGTTATTGTAATTCTTGTTATTAACTTGTTTGATGAATTTTGTTTTTGTTTGGATTTTTGAATGGCTGCTAATTGAGAGGTTATATTTTGAATAAAATAAAAGATGAATTTAAAGGGAAATTAGTTTTGTTATTTCGAACTACAGTCCAAAACACTGCTCATTCTAAGTTTCCCCTCAAATGTGGTTTGTTTGCACATAAAACTTAACTAAATCATAACTTAAGAATTATTTAACTAAGATTTACTGAATACAAAACTATTATAATTTTTAACATACTTATGCACAAAGAATATAGCGTCAATACATGGTGAAATGAAACTATGATTTTTTATTTTCTCAAGTCCTTCAAGTAAGAAAGAATTTTAAGCATTAGTGTTAGTTGTGTTATTTATCAAACAGCAAATTAATTCTTGTTAAACTTGGAATATTATTAAATATGTTTAAAATATATACTTGATCATGAGCATGATTCTTATCCCAATGATCACTAATTATTGACTCTGATAGAAATGTTTGGCCACAAAATGGGCAAATCCATTCCTCATCTTGAAAATCCACCCGCACATCTGGCCACCATAGGAAATCCCGCTCATTGTGAAATGGGCAGCTAAGAGGAAGTGACAATTTGTATCGTAGAAGAATAGGTATTATTTTCTAAAATATAAAAAATAAAACAGGAAATCTAAATATCACATAAAATTCAAAAAAGCAACTTTCTATACAATTAATCAGACAATAACCACACAGCATAACACAAACTAAGAAAGAGAAAAAATATATTTTTAATTTTTTAGAAATAAAAACCTAGTATTAAGTAAAAAAATATTTGACTACAATAAAAATATTTTTCCCATTATAACTTCAAAGTTTTTCAACATTCACTGTTCCAGATAAAATAATTACATATAAAATTACTATAAAACGTTCAGTCACAATTAATGGTATTTTCCGATTATCTGCACCTGCTTCGAAAAGCTGCAAGAAAGCAACAAGGCAATGCATCATGTCACTCAAAAGTATTTATGTGGAAACACATAAAGATAAGCATGTAGCATCCTCACCAAACAGCTTTCCAATTTCTTTCCAATCTGCACCTGCTCCGAAAAGCTGCAAGAAAGCAACAAGGCAATGCATCATGTCACTCAAAAGTATTTATGTGGAAACACATAAAGATAAGCATGTAGCATCCTCACCAAACAGCTTTCCAATTTCTTAGACATTTTCGTCAATGTGGCTGTACATCATAATTCCTCTTAAGGTAATTTGGTGCTTTGGTATTATCGCAACCACCGTGGTAGAAGTCTGGAAACTGTGGCAACCATGCGCATAGAAATTCTTTAGGTAACTATATCGATAACTGAAGTATGAACAAGCAATGTTGCAATTTTTGTACATGCTATTTTGGCTGTACTAGAAGCTCTAAAACAATGATATTTTTTGTTTTCAGCTGAATTTTGAAATATGCACTACGTGGGATTTGCACGCAAATAAATGTTCTGTGAAAATTTTGCAGGAATGTAATATTTTGCCACAAAGCCAGGAATGTTCAGATTTGCATTTGATGATGATATATTTTGGAAAACAAACTTTTTGAAAATGCTGTGTGAAAAAGTGTAACAAACACATCAGTGTCCAAAATGGTAACTGGTTCTAGAATAATCGTCTGCCATTTACTACAAAAGTCAGACTTATATAATGTTGGAGTAAAGAATTAAGGAGTGTTAAATTTTGCTTGGAAGAGTTAGGAATGGTTGGTAAACTACAGTAGATTGAAGTAATTACATGTGGGAGATATGCAGAACAAAGTAGAAACAAAAACCTATTTGTAAGTAGTAGTTTTATAAATTGTCTTCCAGAATAAATATCAAAGTAAAATTAAAATAGGTACCTAATAACATGCATGTTATGAAATAAATAAATTTCCATGATTTGAAACTACCATTCTTTTTCATCTTTAAAAAATTGCCACGGTGGGTGCATTAATACCAAAGTATAACAATTTCAGTGTTTTAACAAAATAGTGAAACATATACTGCAGCTTTCAGAGTCTTCGGCAAAATGTCAGGCAACTTTCTGCATGCATACAGTGTAATCATGCTCACTTAAAAGCATCTTTTCCCTCCCTCCTTATTTAAAAATTCTTTCGTCAATCAATTTAGGATTTTGGCCACAATGCTGAAGTTGAGCTTGACAATGATTATGTGTAATTATCTGAATTTTTTTTAAGTGAAAATGGATCACTGTATACATGGTGAGAACAACAGCCTCCCAAAAGTGAGAAGTGTATATGTCTAGTAAAAAAAAAGAAAGTATAAAAACAGGCTGCACAAGATGAATTGTTCAAATAAAAGTAAAGATATGCAAATAAATATTTCTTGCCAAACTCAGCAACAAGTCACAACTCTTCAATGGGAGTGCAGATAATCAGAAAGTAATTGAATTAACAATAAAAAATTTTAATTGTTTTACTTTTAATGTAAAATCCAAAGGAAGCTTATTTATACACTGCTGCAAAATAACATATTACTGATAAACAACAATGCTACATATGCATGGTCAATTCTGGAATTCTCCGCATTATTCAGTAACTGCATTTATTTAAAATTTTGTATAAAATTATTTATGTACTTTCAGACAAAAGAACAAATTTCCTCAGTCCTTTTCTAAACACAACATTCAGAATAAGCTTTATTTTTACATATTTTACATACTTTAGTCAATCTCCTTTTCCACTCATTCCTTTCGATGTTCTGGTTCATGTTCTGGTTGTTTAAAAATGCCTAGAACGAGGTATTTTACATTAGAAGAAGGCCTTCAAAGATTTTTTGATGAAGAAAGGGATGATGATAATGTTAATAATGACCAGAATGAAACTGATATTGTTGTTATTCCCCCAGAAAATGCAAAAGCTAGTGATGAAGAAGAAAGGAAATGGCAATGTTTTATATAATGATAATGATATTTTACCAAATGATACTGCTGGGGAAGTTCAAATTCAAGTACGAAGTAAGTTTCAGCCTTCTACAAACAGTTATAGTCATACTAAAAAGTTTAAAAAGCAGAAGACTGAAATCTTGAAGTGGATAAAAAAGAAACTGTTAGTTATGTCTCAGGAAGAATATGAAGAAAGAGATAGAAGAGAAATTATAAAAGACAAAATAGAAGGTAAAACTAGTGCACACATTTTTTATTTTCTTTTTGGTTTAGACATTTACTCTCTCCTCATTGAACAGACAAATACAGTCAAAAGTCGTTCATACGGACTCGTCGGGACTTCGGCGATTCTGGATTATCGGTTTTTCTGGATTATAGATCATTAATTTAAATGTGGTAAGATGGCATGGAGAAATTATAAAATTAAAAATATAAAACCGTAATTTATGAAATAAAGAGCAATTATAATCTAAAGGGTATCAAAATTTACAAAAAAAAAAAGCTTAATATTTATTTGTTTACTTTATTAAACATTTCTTTCAACGCGTGTATGCGTAAAGCATACATTATACATAGTCGAAATTAGAAAAACGCAACCAGAAAACTATTTGATGTGTATTCGTGATATTTATAATGACGAGGAATTTGATTTAAATCATATCAAAGACGGAGTACATTGAGATGAAATACTACATTTAGTAAGGAATTATAAGCCAAATAAAATAAAAACATCTGCCCTGAAGATAAGGATAGTGCTGACAGATTAACTTCCAACTCATTGCGCAGCGCGGCGTTCCCCCGCCACAGAGCAGCGTGAAATTGATAAACAGATTTCAGAACGGTTAGATAAACAAAGGATATGCTTTTATCTATTTTTTGCAGCAATTCCACTTTTTGTTTAATGGACTTCGAAACATACTTTCGCTTTGTAGATCCTTTACATTTAGTAAATATATATCGGAAATTCTTATTGACATAATCAAAAGTTCAAGCTTACTTTTATAAAATTGCTCTAACAGTCTGCAAAAAATAATAAGAATCCATTTCGAAGATTAAGGAACAAAGCAATCTGCAACATTAACTGAATTAGATAATTTTAGCTTATCTTATACCGTCGGTAATACATTAAACGCGCATGCGTAAACGTATTTTGGGCTTGCGCACATGCATATTTGCAATTGTAAAGGTCTTGCGCGCTTGACGCATGCGCAGAAAGTTTGTAGCTTTGAGGTCCGGATTATGGGTGTCCGAATTAACGACTTTTGACACTGTATATACGCTCAGCAAAAAAAAAAAAAAAAAAAGGCCCAGAATTTATTGCATCTGAAGCCTATATGAGAAGATTTATTGGAATATTATTACTTACAGGATATGATTCTTTACCTCAAGAAAAAATGTATTGGTCTTTTGATAAGGACATTTCTGTTCCTGTTGTACGAGAATTGATATCACGCTTGCAGTACAGGAATATGAAGCAGAATTTGCATTTGACAATAGTAAAATTGACAATACTGATAAATTATATGAAGTGAGACCGTATCCAAACTTACTAAATATCACCACTTTCTACTACTGGAAATATAAAGTCTCTTTTAGATTTCAGACGCAAGGATGCATTATTCCTTTTGCAAACTCCTATTGAGAGTGTAGAATTAGCCAGAAATAGATCATCAACAGGAAGACCTAGTAAATTCAGCATTCAAAAACCATTGCATGGAGATGGTAGACATTTTATCACAAAGTCCATTGATAACAAAAGTGTTGTAAAGAGTACCATAGCCAGACTATTTATAGATACAAAGTATGTAATGTAGCTTTACATAATGATTGTAATCAAGCTTTTCATGTTTGAATCTTTCAAATGAAATAATCTGCATTTGTAAAAGAAATACAATGTATATTTTAATAATTAAATTAATTACAAGTAAAGTGATTTGTAGATTTATAAAACGTTATACAGCTAAAAAGTAATCCTGCGCTCCACTCAAAAGAAACATCACACGAGTACAATCCTACTCACTAAACATCCATAGTCTTATTCCGCTGACGTTGCGTTAACGCAACACTCGCTTTTTCCACAGGTAAGAGCATTTTTTTTTTAATTTTCAATGTAAATTTATGTTATAAATGCTTAATTTAATATTTGTTATTATTTTCATGAGAAAAGAAACCTTCCTTGTAATTTTGGCGGTTAATGGGTTAACATGCAAAACTTAAGCACAGATGTAATTTTGAAAAAGACCAGAAATAGGAGGAAGGAATTTGTAGCAATTAGCATAATAAAATGCCATTTCAGTAGAAAGGTGATTCATATATATACTTAAAAAGAAACACAGGTAACATAAGAGCAAGTAAGAAGCCTGCAGTAGAATATACAGTGGATGACAATAAGTAGACTACAGACAGATTATTTTTTAATGTGGCAAAGCTATATGGACCATCTGCCTATGAGAAGGAATGCCCTTGTGGAGGATTTTCTGAGGGAAACTGACCTTTATTTGCATTACACACTGACAATAAGCAAAAAGACAATGAAGCACATTATTATTAGGATGTTTGCTGTAAATCCAAATAAGCTGCATGTATAACATGATTTGGAAAAACCTGGACAACTTAACATGTGGAAGATTGATCAGCAAACTTGAGAAAAGGCAGTGTGAAAACGGTTTGATATCACTTAGCATTGTTTTACACATATGAAAAATCGGCTGATCTTTGAAATATGGTAACAGGTAGTTTGGCGACATTTTGGAGGTGATAAAGGTTACTACCCAGGACTTTGGTAATAATGTGAGTAACAGGTAGTTTGGTGACATTTTGGAGGTGATAAAGGTTACTACCTAGGACTTTGGTAATAATGTGAGAAGTACTCAGTTCCGATTACGCATTATTTTGTGTGAGGGAAATGAGTGATCATGAGATATGTCATGTGACATTAATGGATGAATTACAGTTCTTTAATCGGAAAAGGGGGTAAATTTGGAAAAATATCTGTAGTACTATTATTATTTTGTATTAAGCTTCATTGTGTGTTGTGTGAAATAGTGTTGATTAATTTTCGGATTGCATGGCGCTATCTAAAGTGAATTCTAAATTTTTAATGCGTTTATCTGATAATTCAAAAGAATTGGTTGAATGGTGTATGAGTGTAGGTTAACTGCGGATAAGTATGAATGTCCAAAATATGGGAATGAAATGAGATTGTGTGAAAGGAAGGATATTACAGATAAGTTTGAATGGCAGTGCAAGAAATCTGGTGAAAATGGACATTTTGTAAAATGGAGTGTAAGGAAGGGTACGTGGTTTGCTGAAAGTAGTTTGAGTATGGGTGAAATTTTATTAATTTGTTATTACTGGGTGAATAGACTGCCAGTTGACTACTGGATTTCGGATTTAGAAATTAGCAGTAGTACTGCAGCCGATTGGAACTCTTTCTGTAGGGAAGTGTGCGTGCCACGTAATGAAGATTCTGAAGAAGATTAGGTAAGTTAGTATTTTTAATCATTTGAGGATATTATTTTTATGCATTGTTCTAAATGTAAGGAGTAAATAAATTAATATGGTATTATTGGGAAATTGTTATTAGCAATGATTTAGTTTAAAGTAATTAGGAATGTAATCTAATTTTTATTAATTTAATGTATGTGCTTATTTATATTTTAAGTAGTGTTTTTTTAATTTAATTATATTTTAATTTAATGATCGTGATTTTGTGAGTTATATGTTTGTAGTATTTTGGAATACGTTTGAGTAGTATACGTTGAGTATTTTCATGCATTTTCGTGAAATTTTTCTAATTTACAAGAAAAAAGCAGTGTACATGGATATAGTGAAGAGTGTGCGCAATGCCCTTTATGTTCAATTCTGGTTTTTTTTTTAAGTAAAAATAAGTCGACGTGTACATGGTTTAGTTATATTTTAATTAAATGATAGTTATTTTGTGAATTTTATGTTTGTAGCAATTTGGTATACGTTTCAGTTGAAGTAAACGTGTATGGAAATAATTTAAATATTTGACACTAAGTATTTGTAACTATTTTTAATGTACGGTATAAATTCGTTGGTGACGTTTATAATATAATAGATAATTTAGAGGTAAAAGTTTTTGGATATTTTATCTATTTTATACGTGGAAATGTTCATCCTTGGAAAGGGTATATACTTTTTCGCGATCAGGTAATTTCATATATGTGCTTTTTACCGAGTTTAAAGATTCACAAAATTTTCCTGCATTTTCGTGCAAATTTTTGTAATTTATGAGAAAATAGCAGTGTAGATGGATAAAGTTAAGAGTGTGTGCAATGCCATTTTTGTGCAATTCTGGGATGTTTTTTTAAGTAAAAATAAGTCGACGTGTAAATGGTTTATGTGTATGTGCTATTCTGAAAAACGCACAAGGAGTTTGCGATTGTGCACTTTTTCCCAATTTTGCAGTTAATATTTGTCATGATTAAGCAGTTTTGTTACATAAAATTTCTAGCATAAGTGTAATTCGGCTAGTAGATTGTTGGAAAAAGTGTTGAGTAAATAAAAAGAAAAGAAACATGTCTTTACTTCGTGAAGACAAAATGGCGGCGAAAAAAAAATAGAGGGTTGCTGTAGCAGAGTTGGTGGCCAAATTTTCACCAAAAAATCACCAAGTTATCATAATCCAAAGATCAACTGAAAAATCTTTCTAAACACTGGTACGGCTGTGAGAAATTTGGTGGTAGGTGGTCAAGGAAGAAAAAGAACACCAATGGATGATAAGCATATCCCATTTTGCAAGCCAATCAGCAGGCAACGTTGTTCAACAGCTATGTCAGACACCAATTAGCAAGACAAGATATGTACAGGCTGAAGAAAGGCTGGCAATGGTACATTTATGTACATAAATATTAGGTATCGCTGGGCACTGTTAATTGTTGTTTCTGTTCCAGTTTTGAGAGAGAACACCCCAGGAGGTGATCCAAGGGTCTCCCACCCCTCTTTACCTATTACCAACTTCTCATAAGGACTTTTGGTTCACCATGTATTTTGATTGCTCCCTTGCTACAAAGGCATTATATGCTTACAAACATCATATCTTCTACAAGGATCCGAACTCTGCCCCTTGGTATGGCAGTTAGTGTCACTAACCACTGTATGAGTTAGGCAGCATGGATAAAAGATATTAGGTGTCATGGTTTGTTGCAACTACACCTCTTCATAACAGTGGACTATCTATCCATCATCTTGCACTTTGCATCTCACCGAAGGCTGCCCATTAGTACCCATCATTTTCATTTCTAGCATCATTTCTAGCTATATCACCTAGGTGGTCATGCTTTCTTTACAGATGAGAATCTTTCAATATAATAAATGTTTCTTGATGTCAGCTGAAATGGGAGTGTGGTTGGACACAGTTTCATCAGAGATTGACAGCGTCAGATGTACTCGTCTGAATAGCCATTATGCTGAATGGCCACAATGACCATTCAGCATAATGGCTATTCAAACAAGTTCATGAACCCATTGGTGATACAGCTAGTGTTTATGCTGTTTAATAAATTGAAAATGATGGGCATTAATGGACAGCTATCAGCAAGATATAGTACATCAATTTTCAATGGACACACCATTAACTGAGATTGCTATTGTCAAGAAATGATCTTTTCTCATGTATGACTGTTGAGCAGCTGTTGATGCAGACTTCATTTTTATTTATAATGCCAGATGAGGAGCTGCTAGAAAATCAGTAAATCAATCAAATGAGCTTGCCAATGTGCCTCAATATTTAAATCAAGTAAAACATGTACGGTATGCTTTAACAAGATGCTTTTATGCATGATAATACTTGCCAGTGAATATCTAATAAGTGGAACAAATGCTCATCAAGAAATAGGCACTTTCACCTTAAAACCTGTTTCATCATCTGAAATACCAAGTTTGTGTTCTAATTTTCATGCCCTTCATGTGATTTCTTATAGAATAATAGTAAAAAAAGAAAATTTCATGTTTATGTTTCGCACACTAGTGTAATTTTCTCATCTGCCAACACCATTTCATTTATTTCACATAAGGTAAGTTTATTTTTAAAAAAATCTTCTCAGGGGGGGAGGGAGAAATTTTGCAGCTTTTCACTGTGACAAGACACAGCACATGAAAGAAACTGAAGATAGATTCAAAGAAGAAGAATAAGAAGCTGAAATATCTTATCATTATGAATAAGTAGAAATTATTGGACATACTTAAGTTATTAACTGGTGAAGACATTATGGTGGCAAATCAACTGATTGAGGAAAGTTTACAATTTGATTAAAACAAAAGATAATGATTACTAGTATGAAGAAGCTATTAAATATAAAGAAACCAGAAACCCTTTGACCTGAGTTGCAAAGGCTTTACATATTTTCATCTGAAATGCTTATTAATAATCAGACAGTTTTAAAATATAATATAAACATAAAGAAATCATGTATAGTTCATAAGGATATAATGCTATAATTTTGAAATACTGGATAACTTCATAACTATTTTATAAATAACTAATAATATTTTAAAAACAAACCATTAGAGAGTAAGATCGATTGAATAAAGAAGTGGACTATAATACAGTATATCAATATTCATTAACAAGCAGAATAGGTTACAGGGGCCATAAAAGTAACAGCCACATACTTTCGAGGGGGGGCACTGATGGCTGATTACAAAAGGGGTAGACCAAAATGAGCTATCACTTCATCCACAGTTTACAAGCATTCTTTATTTAGGAAAGCCCTCTTGTGAGATGACTGTTACAAGATAGGATGGAACGGAACATAATATTCGAAAAATTTAGTTTACATAGCAAAAGCTAAGTAATGTTTTAAATGATTTAACTGCAGATCCAATTTCTGTATTACAGCAATTTATTAGACATATGAATAAACGGTACTTAGATCTTTGAGATAACTGTGATAAAGCTCCTACAATGGTAATATTAATGGCTTCTAATATGGCAACCTTCATTGTCTCCTCCTGTTTTCTTTGCATGTACTTCTTGTTCATTGATGCATTAGCTTCCCATGCTCGAATCTTCATTTATAATGATACTGCATCTGCTTTTTATTTTTTTTATTTCATATGTAAATATAATTACTGTTCTCAATTTGTCATAAACTAAAAAACTGTTCTGTTTTTCAAGGAAAGGGATCATAAAATGAAACATGAATATCCATGACAGAAATCCATGACAGCTTCATGGATTAAAAATTCCTTTTTTGACAACATTAGTTTTATATATTATTGGTCAGCAAAACTGACATCAATTAAACAGCATGAAAAACAAACATCTGTAATAACATAACATCGACTGGAATACCTTTATCAAGGAGATTTGTTTGAAACATCTGGTCAAATATGCTAAAATTTGAAATTAAAAGTCCAATAAAATTGTTGAAATTGATATGAGTCTCTTTGTACATACGAAAACAATCGATAAAGGATTTTACCTAAATAATGGTTATTCAGTGGCATATACCTTGGGGGGGGGGGAATGCTCTCTGATATAACAAAGTTGATCTCTTTGATCTAACAGTTTCAACAAAATTTCTAACAGAGATGCAAAAATTTTTGCAAAATATGTAATTTCAAATACTATCTCACAAAATTTAAATGGCAGAAGGGTACTCTTTGATAATCCATACTCTTGCCAAAAAGCTGTGAAAAAATATGAGCATGAGGCAAAGCAGTATGATTACATGGTAGTTAAGTGACAACCTGATGTCCCCAAAAAATATCATGTGGCAAACCAGTGCCCCTCTTCCAAAATAAAGTATTTACTGAAAATGATGATTTACTATTGATGTCTCTTGCTTTTTTAAAATCAGAAAGTATTAGCAAAAGTATGGGCCAAGACAGTTATTTCAAAGCTATTCTTGTTGGAACAGCAAATGACAGACACAAAACATTCTTGCATTTAGATTCCCCTCTTTTGATAAGAGTTTGGTAAATTGGTTGCTTTAGAGAGATAAGTACCCAATAAATATATTAGCTGATCCTTCAAGTGCAAAAAATTATAATTTTCTTGCTAAAATTTAATCACTGAAACTGGTAAACTAGTCCATCCTGCAATATGCAAATTCCAATTGTTGCCAAAGTTAAAAGTAATATTTGACACTGCTACACTGCATTCATTTTCCATGCTATAAAAGCATGGTCTCAGTCAATACGGTAATTATCAGAGGTTAACTGGCATACTCATAGTATGCATGTATGTAATGCATTCTGGTTTTTCTTTTCTTTTTTTTTTTTTTTTACGAAAAAGTAAAACAACCAACGAGTTTCATCATTCCCTAACAAGTGCCTAGATGGCAAGTAATTGATCAACAGTTAGAAAATATTTTAATTCAAATTGAAAGCAAGAAAATTCACATATTTACCTTCTGTATTATCAAACGGACTAACTTTGACTTTGTTCTTGAACAATTAAAGACACTTTTTGATGGCGAATTCCAGCCAGCATAATATAAAAACAGCAGCAACAAAATCTGTAAATATACAATATTATAAATGTTATAAACTAAATTATTCAAAACAGTTATCACCTTTATTATTTTATCATCGACTGATAACAGTATAAAATAATTTATTGCCTATGCTCAAATTTACTAATCACCCTTTATGCACTATTATAGGCATGAAAACTTGAGCCTTTTGCAAGCTTTTGAATATTATGTTTCCTAATCTGAAAAAAAAAGAAAAAAAAATACAATAAAAAGCAAAATGTATACCTAAAAACTTTCAGTGATGTCAGACTCTTTACTAGAAAAATTCTTTACTTTAGTATTGAAATATTAATCCTCTCACTGCATACTTATTTTATCCAAATAGGTTCAAAAACTGTTTATTTTTTTATTACATATTTCAAATCTACATAAATTTTAGAATTAAAACATACTTATTCTAAATGTATTTTAGAGTTAAAATATACAAAAGTTTTTTGTAAAAGAGTTTTTTTCCAATATAGAATTAGATCATAGAAAAGGGTTGTTAGAATACTGAAATTGAAGAATAATGATATAAAAGGAAAATTTTGAAAATTAATATTGGTTAAATTATGATTTTATTTTATAAAATACAAAGGTAAAACATATATACTAATGAAAATATTCGCATAATGTAATAGTTTGCATATCAATTTTGCACCACTATCAAACGTTTTCAATAGAAACTGAATTTTCAGATTCATCACTATCTGCAGAGGAATCTGAGAAATTCTCATCAGTTTCACTATAACTATCTTCAATATACTTGAAATCAGGGTCAGACTACTATCAGTGTCGGAAATATCGTCAGGAATATAAGTTATATCACTCACGAAACGCTTCCTGCCAGACATCAGCTCTGAAAAGCGCGTGCAAAATGCTACATTACATATTCTTGTATATTTGGCAGAAATGTGGACAACTAATGCCATCTGTTAGTCCACATCTAAATAAACATTTAAACATCCCAGAAAAGTCAAAAGGAAGCCTTGAACGGGGAAAGAGCAGGTTGCACAGTTAAATAGACGGCAAAATTTTGCTACTTTTACGTTGCTTGTGGAAATCGTGGGATGTGCAGCGAGAAGGTTAAATCTGAGTTATAATTGCATAAATTTTAAGCAAGATTACATAACACTTTAAAAGCATAAGGTAATCTGAGATCTTATTCTAAATGTATCAGTTGATTATTTCATTAAAGGTCCTTGAAATTACATAAAAAAGAATAATGACATTTACAGCATATCTTTAGAAAAAGTTATTACATATTCAAATTGTGTAATCACAAAATCAGAGACAGTGCCAGTAAATGAATAATAAAAGTTCAAGGTCTTCTCTCAAAATTTCTGAAGTTCTTATATATTTGCCCTATCACCTTAATAAAAGTCTTGCAACCATGTGCATGACAATTATTTAGTTTCAACAAGCAACATTCCCAATTTTGCATGCATTCTTTTTATTGTATTCCAAGGTCCAATGGTTTTTATAGATTCCCCCCTCCCCGTCTTAATTTCAAAATATTTGGTTGGGAAATTAACCTACATTGAGTAAGTTGCTGTAAAATCACTACAGTAATTCCAATATTTTATCAGAAATCACTAAAAAGAACAACTGATTTGAATTTGTTCTTAAAGCAATCTTCACATAATTGCCACCAGAACAGAAGAATAAGTAGGTTTGTCGATTCAGTTTTAAAATGAATACCTAATTAAAAAATTTAAAATATACATGTTAGTAGTAAATGATTTTTGCTATTACATGTCATCATTATTCTTTTGTAAATTCATTGAATTTACAGAAGGTTGTTGTGCTAATGCACAAAAGACATTTCTTAATATTAAGCATGTTGGGTACTTAATTATTATCTCATTATCACAACACACTCTCCTATCATCTAGGCTTTCATAAATGGGTTGATTCTCAATAAGGGACTTATTTCTTTTTATGAACAAGGATATAAATTTTCTATTATTATTGTATTCCCCCCAATGCAAATGACTATCACTGGAAATGACTTTTTTACAGACAAAAAAACTAGCACTTCTTTATCACAGCAGTTACTACATAAGTTATTGACGATATGTGATATTTGCAATATGATAAGTTGGATGATCAAGTTTTTGGCAAGTGAGTGTAGTAGTACAAAAAAACTAGGGTTGAGAAATGGATAAGGGTTATTTAAAAAATAGCTGCCAAGAAAATGTAAGCTGGGATGACAGATTGGTAACAATTCCTTGTAAGGATTTATCTATTAAATTAAATCTATTTTAAGAAAAGAAGTACTTGTCATAGCTAAGCAATGACTCACAAAGAAAGCAAACACCAGATTACTTGCATAGTATATGACTGCTTTCCCATTAACATTTATAGAAATGGTTTTTCAAATTTTTAGTCCAAAGGGGCTTTGTCCCTGAAAAACTATTGTTTTCATATTGCAATTTTGTGTCAATTCACTACAAACGGTAAATCACTTTTCAAACTGTTGCCACAAAGTATTATCGCCCTGTATTATATTTAAAGAAACTAAATAATGAAAAATCTGCATAAATGTATGTATATTCCTTGCATTGTGACAAACAATGGCCAAGTTTTCATCAAAACAATGGTTATTGTGATAAAACATCAAATTTTGAACGACATAATTCTTCTACAAATATAGGCATGTAGAAGGCCAAATTTGAAATTTGGAATTTGTTTTATTATCGATTTCCTATTTTGTAAAACTTTAACGAATTTTCGATTAACAAACTCAAGGATTTCAAAGCAAGCAATGGCAACGTTGTACAGAAAAAACATTTCATCTCCAGCGTGTGAGATTGTGTATAGGAAATTCTAAAGATATGCTCATTTTAAAACTATTTTGCAATATTGCTGTAGAACTGAATTTTATAGTTTAAGCGCAAAGACCTTGATATTTAATAAATAAATGTAATACACAAAATGTTAAAAAAACGCTCCTTTGGATGTAATTTAAAATCTGAAACATTTCAGTTTTTTTTTAAATTTAAACCTTTTAATAATCCTTTCTTTCTATTTCATGATAACCACACTTGCCCTACCTCTTACTATTGCAAAAAAATAAAAGTAAAGGACGGAGAGAAGATGTATATCTCTCAAACAATAAGAAAAATATTTCTCTTGGCCAATCATGTTTAGCAGTGAAGTCTTCTGTATCTAAAACTAACTTAATAAGGATTTTAAGTTTTTAGTAATGTTTATTTTATTTTAAACTTTGCTATTCTCTCTTATTTTTCATTTCCGGCCAGAATAAGCACAAGTAGGATTTTTATGCTAATGAGTTGCAAACTGTAAAAGGTATTTAAGAAGTGGCTTCTAGCCAAGAGAGAGAAAGCCTTCCCACTGCCCTGCTATGCGCATGCTTTTCAGTCCATTCGTGTCTGCCTTAGGCCAGAACTTAGTTCCTGCTGATATAATAGGCATATTGTAGTATTTGCATCTAGCTCACTACATACGCAGGTTCAAAAGGCCAGACTTTGCGTTATTAGTCTCTGTGAAGCAATTAAGTTTAATTCTTATTAAGTTAGTAAGTGAATATTTCTTATTTTCTATGTTTTAAACTAAAAGTGTTGGTCTCTGTATCCTGAAGTGTGGGAGAACCTGTATGCTGTGAGAAATAAAGGGTAAAGTTAACCCTTCTTAACTTGTTTGTCTATTCCAAGCACACACGAACTTAGTTTCAGTAAGCTCCCTGTTCCCACTCAAGATTTCAGTGATTTTTCCCAAGTCAATTAGAAGGAATAGCAGTCCTCACAACTCAAGTAAAATATTGTAAAAATGTTTAAACTGTTTGACTAATAAATTGCAAAAATAACTTTTTATTAGAAAATTTCTAATAAAACTAATTCCAAGACTAATAAACATAATTAAATTTTTTAGCCAACTTTTTTTTCACATTTTATTGGATTATCAAAACTGGAAAAATAAAGGAGGGTTATCAGCATCAACTCACTTTTTATCAAGAACCACTAGGTACTGGAATCTCTCATACCTCTTTCTTTGCCTCTTTTGCATTAATTTTTTATTGCAATTCTTGATATTTAAATGAATTTCAAGAATGAAACTTTAAATGAAACTTTATGCTTTTAAAGAATTTCAGTTATAGAGTTATGCACTGGCAGATTTCTGGTTAAGTTATAAAGTTAAAATTATCGTGCTGAGGTTGCATTCCAAATTTAATTAAATACATGTATATCATGGTTGAAAAATCCAACATATGTTTATTACCATTTTACTGCATATCCCTGCATATCTAGAAACCACTGCTTTACAGGCAATTTATTTACTGAATACCACAGGACAATTTACATGTTATATATACATTTATCTAAATTTTAAATTCAACAACTTCTTAAAGTATGAACTCTACTGCATTTATCTTTCACACATTATTTAAATCAATAAAAAAGCTAAAAACATAAACAAGCAACAAGTTTCATTTTGCATAATCTAGAAGGAACAAATGACCAGAAAATTGGAGTTTCAGATAGTCCAAATTCTATATTCAAAAGCAGAACACAATTTTATTTCCATGTGTTAACTAAAAGACTCTCGTCTTCTTATTTCGTCATGAAGTATATAATCACAATTTTTAGCAAAATTTGAAAAAGTCCAATTTCTCAGCAAGACCAAACTTCTAATGATGCAATTCGTTTGTTTTATTATAGCGTATTATAGTTCTTGATGGATAATTTGATATAAATTACTTGGAAGTGAGTTTTAATTCCAACCATGTCTTTATTATAAGTAGTGGGGTAATTTAAATGGATGGGTAATTTAAAGAATGGAAATTACCCAGATGGCTAATTTAAAGAATGCATTGCTGCAGAATCTTTTTATACCTCAATACAACTTTTCAAACAACCAGTACATATAGTACTACAGAACAATTACTTTATAACTTAGGAAACACAGAAAATATAAAAAAGATTCTTTGAGCAATTATAAAGAATCTCAAATGTGTTGATAGAAATTAAAAAAGCAATTAACTGAAATATAACTAAAACAACAATAAAATAATAACAATATTATTAACTTAGGAGTCCCACTACATAATCAATAAAAGAATTCCCACCGCGAAAATACCGACCTCAACATAATAATAAGTCCGATACATGAGAGAATATTTTCAGATCTCTACATCATAAAAGTCTACTATACAATATTTATATTTAAAATTTATTAAAGAGTTAAAAAATCACAAAATCGCAGTGAGGATGCTTTTTAGTTTACAGTTAAATAGACAGTTAAAATAGAACCAGAGAAAATGCTGAATGCATACTAGCATTATTAATAATCGCTTTTCTTGCTGGATACAAACCTTTTTTAGAAGGAATTCAAATTTACTTAATTTTAGAAAAGGAACACGATTTTAAGATATAGTTGAAGAAATTTTATAAACTGCATATTTTGAATAATTATCCATGAACGGATAATTCATGGCTGCAAATGAAGATTGATATATTCGATTTACATCTGTTATTGGAAACCACAGTTGCTTTACCTGAATTCCTTTTCTAGCAATTTTATTTTATCAAAAATAAAGATCAGACGATTAGCTATCAAAATCGCATTAATATTTTAGGCTTTCCCGTGCATTTCAAGATTAAATAAATTAATAAAAGCTACGAAATATGTCCGTTTGAGTTGCAAAAAGTTTAGACATAAAAAAAAAATTTTTTTTTAAATAAAAAAATTGCTAAGAAGATTTTGTATTTATTTAGTTGGCAGCTGTAAAATTAAGTTCTTCAATTTATTTTCTTTGAAACATTATTTTGTTAATACCCATTACTCAAAGACTGCAAAGTAAGTTAAAAAGGCTTAAGAATAGGTGGATGTAAAATGAAATTTTAAAACATTCTGCATGAAACATGGTAGCATAAAAGAGTATTGTATTTATTTTAGCCATTACAATAAACATCTAGCAAGAGCAAATTGGAAATTAAATTAATATAGGCAACAAAGCAATCCACCTTATCTACCTTTCCGGAATGATGTGCCAAAGAAAAGCATTAGAATAAGCTTTTATTCTTAAACAATTTAAGATAGCAAACACGAAAAGCACTTGGTTAGATCATATTCATGAAACATATTACCTTATATCAGACTAATTTACCTAAAACATTTCATAAATAACAGATTATTCAGTGCTATCTTTAACATCATAACTGTCAAAATATCGAAGAAGTTACGATAAAAAATGTTCTTAAGCGCGTTAAGTACCCATAAAATCGTTTGCATATTCTTTCTAGTAGTTACTAAAGGGATATTCCGTTTATCGTTTGCTTTCTGTTAATTGGTGGGGACCTGGCTCGTGATTCACTTACACGAGCAGCATTTCCTTTTGAATTATCATGTTCTACAGCATTTTGAATTTCAATCTGTTATTCTTTTCTTTCTTAATGCTGCAATGTCGGACATGAAAGAAAATCTACCTTCCTGTGGATCCAATTTCATGATGTTACCTGAGTATTTACATTCCCTGTTTATAAGATATATAAAAAATGGAAGAGTCCGAGCTCCACCTGAGCAAGAACTTGGAGAACTAATTCAAACATTTCAGCAGGGAGCTAAAACAGATCGACGAGCACTTCAAAGTAAATTCAAAAGTTGGGCCAGGCGAATGGACGTTGAAAATGAAAATTTAAAATTATCAAGTACAGGAAAAATAATTATTCCGAAGGAGAAGTGTGATAATTTAGTAATAAGCATACATTCAGAAAAACACATCGCTGTCGATAAAGTAATTCACAAGGTAAACTATTTAAATTATTTCTGATAGTAAACTTTTTACTCATGTGATGAAATATGATTAGAAAAATTTCAAAACTATTGCTTATTTGTTTATTGAGTTAAATATTGTAAAATGGTATAGAAATATAACAATTTATGTTTTTCTCGAAAGTTTTGGGTTATGAATCATCCATATTTTGACGGATTAATGAATCTGAGTAAAATGAAATCAAAAATATAATGCCTATTTTTAGTAATGCATTAATGATAGTTTAAAAGTATTAATATTTATTTTGTTATGCTAAGCGAATTGTAATTTTCACTAATGTAATGAAGTTTTATTACTGATGGATAATTTTCAGATGGGAGATAAAAATCATATGAAATAAAAATCTGCTGAATGAGCTTTCTAATTAAATACTTATCTTTTAAAAGAACCAGCATATTATGCAAAGAAAATAAGGGGTTCACTTTTATTCTAACACCATTTTTAAATCTAATATTTTTATATGTGTCACTTTTTAAGAATTTAAATTGTTTTTTGCTTTTAAATCAGTTTTTCCCATATGCTGTTCCAATACACTACTTTCTTATTTCTGATACTGCATGATGTACTTCCCCATAAATGTTGTCCACTGTTTTTAAATGTTTAGATACAGGTCTGTTTCGCCCATTATTCGGAAAATATTATAAACAATTAGACACGAAATTTTAAATTATGAATTTAATTAGTAATGGATATTTTTAGCCCATACGTTGTGTACTTTGGTTAACACTAGCTTTTAGAACGTAAATTGTGCAATTTACATTTATACTACAAACGTTAATAATATTGTTAAAAAGTATGTATACAATCTTTTTTAATCTTTCGTTTTACTATACGTAATGGCAGTGGGATAACTTGAAAAATATACCAGAATCCGTTTAAAAAGTTTTTAAAAGAAAAATCTTCTTAAACGGGAGCATATTTTTCCCCTCAAAATTATGGTTTTCACAAAACTTAATTTATGGCTTTAGTAATTGTTTTGAAATTAAATACATTTTTAAAAAGCCGAATTCCCAAACCGGTACTTTTCCATTTTCCCAGCGCAAGCGATAAAGTCGCCAAAAATGGTACAACCGAAGACAAATAGAATATCCTCGCTGGTAACCTTTTACGCCTCGTTTTCAAAACAAGTCGCAGACATTTCTTATCAGATTGATTGTTTCTTTCAATAGTGGCATACAATTACATAGGATTTTTACCCAGTTAGTTTAGTTTTATCCCCTAAGGCCATTCGCGGTAATTAGTCAATTAGAATGCACACATTGCTTATCCGAAGGCGGAAATATAGAAAATGCAAAGTCGAGGTTAAAATTCATCAGTTCTAATGAGAATGCACTGTGGTTTTACATAATTTCTGAGTAAGCTATTCGTACGAATTGAAATAATTCTTACATTTAAATTTGTATTCCAAATTAAGATTTAACTTGAAATTAATGTAGATAATTACTGAAAGAATTAGATTTTTGTAGCGTAGTTTACGTGGGGTGAGATCACTTGGGATCACATGATACGAAACGGCGAATCAGGATGTTGTACCATGAAAACATCTAGTAAATTCTTAAATTAATGTCTTTTTACAAATTTATCGGCTTTATTTACTGTATTTTTACAAAATTTTAAACGATATTAAAATGTTTATGCCTTCAAAATAAAATTTTTTAGAACTAACATTTTTTATATGTATACTGTATGTTGTCGCCAATAAAATCTGCTTGGAGAGATCTGCGCCGGGGAAACGGAAAAGTACCTTTAAACCTTTTAATACAAACTAGTACATTTTTATTAAATTAGTACTATAAACGTAATTATTTCAATTTTAATTTAAATCTAAATTAATTTAGAATACAGTTCCTAAAATTTTATCTAATTTGGCAAAATAGGACAAAATTATCTGCATTAATTTTATAAATTTGGTAAAATCATATTTTCAAGTCTTTTATTACTTAAAAATATTCATTAATTAATTTTCTAGAAAATTAGCTAATACTTCAGAAATGGATGATACCATTTTAAAATATAGAGAAAAGGTATGCTACATTTTTTTTTTTTTTTTTAAATTTTATCTTTATTTTCCACGGTATAGTTTTAAATGAAACATGAAAGAAACTGGACTGAAACTTGACAGACTTTCTGGCCACTTTAAATAAATAATTTCCCTAGAATTCTTGGTAACTGTTATGTTAACAGCTATTAATATTTGGTTAGTTCATGAGGTTCAAATTGAGGAATGCATCCAACAAGAATATCCTTAAAAACTAAAGTGAAAAAAACTCTAGAAGAAAAAGCTCCACGAAAGAGTAATGAGAACTTCTTAAGCGGGAAAATTTTTCAAGGTAAAAGCATTTATGCGGGAAAATTTAGCATTAGCAAAACTGAAAAATATCTGAGATCTTGCGAAATAAAACTCTTGAACGTATTTTACTATACTACCACATGATATTAATATTAACTTTATATACATTCATAAGGCTTATAATAACTGTATACGAAATTTTAGGACCTTTGGGAATAACAGAGTAACATATGCAGTAATACAGAGTAACATAAGCAGAGTAAAGTAACTCTGTATATAGTTATAAAAATGCCACGTTATATGTTATCCGTTTTCATTCTTTGCTTATACCTTCGTAAAAACTTTCTGAAGGAAAGTGGTTCACTCTCATAGCGTTCATCAGTGAGGAGAGACGGACTATCAATCTCTATGAAATCGTACCATTTCCTATGAAAATGTGCGGTATTAGAATGCGACCGTTATGATGGATCTCCTGCAATAATGGCAGTATTAAGTACTGGAACACCTGCCATACTAGGCATGTACGAGTTTGTTTGATTGTTATTAAATTTTGCCATTGCGATGTAGCTATTACAATAGTAGAAAAGAGGTTATACGTGTTTTACGATGCTAAATGTTCTGATGATGAAGGACACCTTCAGTAATTTAGCCAAAGAGGTAGACATGGCAGGCGATTATTTTTAGAGATTATAAATGTTTGTACTTATAGTGATAGATTTTTCCGAAAAATTGACATGTTTCCAGAACTTTTTATCCAAGCTTTTAATTAGCCATTTGATTCAGAAATAAATGAGAAACGAATCACCAGTGTTCAGTGGTCTTATCCACATAATCACTGGTGGGCTTTTGTGAATTTGAGGAATATTTAAAAGAATTTCCTTTAAAAATTGAAAATCATAAATTGATACCTTTGATTGCAATGTAAAGGTATTAAAATCGAGATCAAAGCTTCCAATTTTAGAAGTCAAAGATTCCAGATTAAGAAAGTATTTTCGTGACATTTTCAACTCTCCTGCCGTTAAAAGCAAATTAGAAATTCAGAAAGTATCACAAATCAGAAACGTAAATAAGGAAGTATTAAAATAATATTGAAATTCACTGTTTAAATACATTTCAAAATGTGATAAAGTATTTTGTCATTATGTTTTATTTTTTCATGCTGACAAACTGTACATGTAGAAGAGTTTATAGATGAATTATAGAACGTCTGTATTGAATTATGAAGGTGTGTGTGTTATTTTAATGACTCACTTTGAATTACACTGATAAGCAGTGAACTGTAAGCATTTTGAAGCCAAATGAAAGATTTCCTATTGAGTGAAGTGGCAACTGTTATCTTTTCATGTGTCTAGCAGTGGTTCCCAAAATGTCCCTTCAGACGACTAGGGGTCCTTATGACTGCTGAGGGGGATTTGTAGCAACTTAAAATTAATTTGGGATGCTCGAATGATTTAATATAAAATAAAATAATTGTGAGTCTTTTTCATTATTATGAAAGTTAAAATAAATAGAAATAAATAAGTCGGAAGCAATTTTGCGTCGTGATTAAAATTAAATAATTGTATCCTTTTTTACATGTAACAGTATGAGTAAGCCGAAGAAAAATTGCAGACAATATTTATATATACTTAAAATATGGTTTTATTCCATTACAGGGATATAATATTTTACCTATATGCTTCTTATTCAATAAAACTTTGTGAAACGAATCAATGACTCTGAAGGAACGTTTGACAAAAAACCCATAGTGACAAATAATACATGTTTTTTTTAAAACATTTAAAGAAAAATATATTACTAAAGCCTTTTTGAGACAGCATTTGAACGATATGACGAGGGACTGGGTGTTTTTTATAGCATTTCTTTACTGATTGCAAAATCAGAAAGAGAGACACCACTAGTTAAGAACTTATTCTATCATCTGTAAATGAAGTAACACACACCGTACTGTATAAACGAGCATCCGATATTGTACGGCTGCTATCACACATCCATTTGAATCGGACGAACAACTGTTTCAAACAACTTTTCTACCTGCTTTAGCCCTGAAAGAAAGACGCAAGAGTTTTTTAAAGAATGACGCATGAAAAAAGTGTAAGTAATTCGTTTTCAACAATTAATCAGCTAAGAGCATCGAACACCCGATGATCAACCATCATATATAACGAGGAATTAGTTTCCCCTTTACATGGTAACCCCCACGGTGATTCATAGTCACCACAGTGATTTGTGGTGACTGGTTTTTTTTAATATCACATGGCAAAAAAAAAAAAAAAAAAAAAAAAAAAAAAAAAAAAACATTCTAAACAGTTGTTTTTCCGAAATGTTTTGAATGTGTGATATGACCTTAAAAACATTCTACTGAATAATAATACAGTCCAAAGAAGGATTGATGAAATTTGCCAATTCGTTGAAAATTCCTTATGTAAGTTCTTAAAAACATCTGAATTCTGTGTTCAGCTTGACAAGTCAACTTTACCAGGAAACAAATTTCACATAAACTTAGTTTTAGCTTATGTGAGATTTGTTAAAAAAAAAGGAAAAGATTTTCCAAGAACTGTTATTTGTTAAATGCTTGGAAATTGGTACGAAAGGTGAAGCAATTCTAAATGAACTAAAAAGATTCTTGGATGTAAAACCCTTGAGAATATCCTTCCCGTTGCCATTGACGGTGTTTCGGCAACGGAAGAACGATATCGAAGCTTTCTGGCATACCTAAAACAAGCTGCATCGAAAGAATTATCTGTAGACCCTGTCATAACAAGGTTTAGAAGCCAAAAATCTTAGTGAACACTTGCATTGTCGATGCCATTAGAGCAGTTAACAAAATAAAAGGCATAGATGCCCTAAATAAGATATTATTTGTTCAACTTTGGAAATAATTGGAATCCCATTGGTCAATTCTAGAAGCCATTCCTTTGGTAGCGATACAGATGTGCACTTACAAAGCATTCCTCCTCTCATACTTTTTGTCTCATCTGTCGGAATTCAAATAATTTTATCGAGTGTAATTTTTTTTCAATTTTTCTTTATGCGTTCAAAGACAGTATTTAGAATATCCTTTTCACATTTAGATTTTTCAATGGCAATTATTCTACAATTTCTTTAGGAACCATAGTCGAAATAAATCGAACAAAAGTAAAACTTGCGCTAAGTTATGTCACAAAATTCATCAATAGCTATTGATAAAGCAGAAACCAGTTTAAGATCTTCGATACGCTGATTGGTTATATTTAAAGACATTTCGATTGCTCTATCTGTTACTTTATTAGCAGATAGTGGTAACAGAGCTGTAACTAGGCTTTTCAGCACTCGGGAACAAAGGTGGTTAAATTATTATTACTTGATGTAAGGCTGCAAAAGTATTTAATACATTTGTGAGATATGCAGAGAGCAATAATTCACAAAGCAGCGAATAAGTAATGAGTATTCTTTTCAGTGATGTTTTGACAAGAAGTTGGCATAAGAATTTTAAAAAGTTTTCGTACAACACGAATACAAAGAATTCCAAAGCATAAAATGATAACGAATTAAAAAAGATGAATCATATTCTATAGTTTTTCTTTAGTACATTTTCAGTCATTAAATACATTTGAAAAGTAACCCTATGTAAAGTATGTTTAAAGTTTTATATTCCTAAAGCTAAATATATTTAAAAAATTCTTTTTTGCAGCATTATCTTGAAACGTCCAATAATTAGGCAAATTTTTTTCAGTTCGACATCATCATAGCCCCAAACTTCCCTGATTATTGGGCATTTTATTGTAATTTCAAAACGATCTGTAGATCACATGGAAAGATTTTCCAAAAATTTTCGATTTTTTCGATCGAGCGAGAATTTTCAATTTCTTTGAGATATTAATTCTATTGTAAACAGTGAACCAAAACAATGAGGTAGTATAGTAATTTATTTAAAATTCTATAGGCTATATGACAATAATTTACAAGACAAAGTGTTCATTGATTTATGCTGAAAAAAAAAAAAAAAAAAGAAAAAAAGAAAAAGAAAACAAGAATAGATGATTATTTACAAAGTCTGCGAAAAAGTTCCTGTCCATTAGTCGGCTGTTAAAATTTTCAGGGGTTTTGCTTAGCGCAAGGTGAAGTTTTTGAGCAAGGCAAACAGACTTTCTTCTTCTCCTGCCCGCGGATGGCCGTTCTGAGCAATTTGCTCTTAAACTTGGCTGTAAAAATCCGGCTACCGGCTACTGGATCTGTTCGCATAGAGATAAGAATGCTTCTTACAGGGTAAAAAGAAAATTTTCTCAATTTGGTTGAGCTGAAAGTTTCTTTTTCACTAAATTAACTTGTGTTCTGCAGTGGCGTTCACTGGTTCTGCTCAACATTTACAAGGTATATAGGGAAGACTTTCTGAACTTTCATATTCCCAAAATTTTTGGAGCGTTTCTCGATTGGCGGGGAAATCAGAGAATACACTGATTGTTTACGGGTATAATGGTCACAGAACTGGGAAGTTTCCATAAGAATTCCTAGGCTCCAACTCGGGACATGATCCGGGATTCTCTTCATTATGGGTGGTCGGTGATAGACAAATGATGTATAATAATATACCTATAAACAGATGCGTGGGAATTTTGAGCGAAGGATTTCCATGTTCCATGTTTTCTCAGGAAGGAAATAATATTTCTCCTTTGGACGGCCATGAAATGAAAAAAACAGTCGCGAACGGTAAGTGATTGGTCACGTTAAGCTTTTACGAGAACTGCTAAATGGTCGTTAGAAAATAACTATTCCGAGAACCGTGGGGTTGAAATTAAAAAACAGCTAAATACGTTATACTATTAATGGTGATCTTGCATTTTCTTTGAGAAAATCTTGACCAAGAATATTTTTCCAAATGCTTCAGTGCGAAATATGTTTAGTCGTTTCATTGTAACTTTGATTTTTGACCCCATAAAAATTAAATTTTAGATCTAAAATAGTGACTATTCAACTAATTCAATTAATTACATTTCCCTTTGATTTGTCCATCAATGTTACACATCAAATAATTCTTAACGCTTTGCTTGTAAGTACTAATTTAATTTTAATACCAGTAGAATGAATTCTGAAATTATTAATTTCATGAACTTATTTTATAAGTGATTTCTTTGAAAAATTCAAAAAATTGTAAACAAATTTCGATCAATGATCATTAATGTCTTAAAAAGCTCTTTTGTAGAACATTTTCCCTTTTCTTTTTCCGTTTACTGCTATTTATAAATGTTCAGTGACTTCTAATGGATCTAAAGTGTTGTTGATTCATTTTAATAACCTTTTACGAAGATTATTTTAATGAAACAATCTTGGTATTTATTTATTCCATTAAAATAATATCTGGCAGGCAAGAAAGCTGAGATTCGGTACACGGTATTCGGTCAAAATGAAATCTCATGCATCTCTATTTTAGGCAGATGTTACGAAAAAAAAAAAAAAAAAAATCATTTAACAGGATAAAAGTCTTAAGATTTAATGAATGATAAAGACAGAAATCGTGTGCGAAATTTCCCCCTCTTTTATTTGCATTGAGGTTTCATATCAGCCAAAACTTAAAGTAACGAAATAAATTTGGATATTTACTTATTTACATTTCCTTTTCGGGATTTTATTAATCAAGTAAAAAAAATATGATGTGTACACCATATGACTTCCTTGTGCGGAATATTAAACTATACACATTTTTTCTAACATTTAATTTAAACTTATTGGATTGAATTAAATCTATTTCGTCGATAGCGCATAAACCACAATAGAATAAATGCACTCTTTAAAATTCACTATATTTGTTTATCATAGCGACACTCTGGCGTAATATAACACTTAACAGCGTTATATTTCGTTCATACTCAGAATTCACAAAATCTATATCATTTGAAAAATTACCTAATCGTTGCGTCATGTTCTATTCAAATACTATAATAAATCTAGAACGATGTATAAAAGAAATTAAGCAAACAAACAACTAGTTTTTCACAGACAATTCAGTATTTCTCATTCAATTATTTCAGTTCTCACTTCGCGACAAGGCAAAAATACATAAAAACTTAAATATCTATATTAAAAATTACGAAGTAAATCCTAAACATTTATTTCCTCGAAAAAATTCCAGAAAGGATTAAGCATGATTTAATTCGCAATTATAAATGAAGGCGTTATCTTTGTTGTTGCTAATCTTAGTCTTTCTGAATTGGCAACAAATCTACTATTCTGTTGTTTCAAATGTAAACAGACATGTCCACCATAGTAGACATAGACATGTCCATCATAGTTTCAAATGTAAACAGACATGTCCATCATAAATATTAGGCTTAACCGCACTTAAACAGCTTTAAATTGTTGATAATTCTACAAATATTGCTTGCAGATTTCCTAAAGGCATAAAAACCGTAACCGGAAGATAAGAACAACATAATTCAATCATTTTTAAAGCAAAAAATGCACAATTTACAGACATATATGAGCAAAGAAACTGAGATCACTGAGCCGGGTAACAGAATGGATATATATATATAAATATAGCAAGCTCGCTGCAATGTTTCTACCTATTATTTCATATATTTTTGCAGCATTCTGCGCAAAAAAATTTTAAGACAAAATAGGTCTTACGTCACATTACTTGTTAGCTTTACAATTTCTTTTTCGATTATATAAATATATTTATATACGTTGCAACCAAAATACGAGGTGCACATCTACATGTTATAGCAGTCCTATGTACAAAATTTCAACGTTCTTGAGGCTACTCGTTTTTGAGTTATGCGAGATACAAATGTTCGTGCTGTCTGTACATGCGTACGTACGTATGTACAGACACCACGAACAATTCTCTTCAGAATTCATTTTAAAGCAGTTTCATAATTTTGTTTAAGGAAAAAAGTATTTTATTCTGTCCTTACGTACAGATGTGAAGCAAAAACATCGTTACATTGCATTCGATAGCGGTCAAAATGGATATTTTCGTTGAAATATGCTGCCTGAAAGTTTTCGCGATTTCAAAACTTCCTTTTTACTTCGTACAAGGAAGTAAAAAAGAATTGAACACAAATTTTTCACTTCAGGTGATATACTTGACGTAAAATTGTTTCATATTTCAAAACAGGAATAAATTTAAGGCTTATAAAACAGTATTATTGATTTAATTTTTGCTATTTATTTTTAAAGTCTATAACGAATTAAAGTAATTATGGATGGTTTCTTAAATACTTGCTATTTCAGATTCAAGAAAAGTATACATGGACTCGAAAAAACTTTGGAATGGATCGAGAAATAGTGATCGACACGATTTCAAATAAATGCGCAAATGAAGAATGTCGCAAAAAGCTTGGTATGTTTTTTTTCAAAGGTTTATGAATCATATCATGAGTTTTATTTATTAATAATAACAAAGGAAACAGGTGACAGGTAACGGAGGATGGGGACAGCTGTCGTCTACCAGAGGTAAGTAGGTGCACGCCCCTCGTCCTCCATTATTCAGTGCTTATTGAAGAATTCAGGTAAGATACATGACCATACAAGGCAGCAGATGTCTGAAGGAGCAGTAGGTGTACTTGGTTGATATAGACACCCAGAAAACTCCCAAATGCAAGTTTAAGTAACTGAAAACAGTTTAAACTTGGCAAACTACGATTTCAGGCCACAACTCTGCTATCATCTGCAGTCATCACTGGAAGACTGCATATGCAGGTAGGCTAATATTCGACAAATCAGAAACCTTCCCCCAAAGTGTTAGGAACTTCTATGACTTCGTTTTCAACTTGGGTAAAGCAACTTTCATAAATGTAGTATTCATGTTATACCAGTACACTATTCCGTAAGTAGGATATTCATTTGTTTTTATTAATCCCAAGGATCAAGGAAGGATTCTATTACGAGGCACTTAGGCTTATTGCCTTTATCCCAAATCATCAAAGAATTATTTTTATCGACAAAAAGATCGTTCCGCAAAGAGGTAAAATTTAGTGCCAAATGTTAAATTTAACAAAAGAGTAACTACCTTCCACAGTGAAAAAAGGTAAAAATACCGAATGACTTAATTTAGTGAATTTTTGTGTCGAAAAAAAGCCAGAATAAATTTTGAGGGGGTTACATCATGAATTTTGACAAGCATTGACGTTTCCTTGATCAATGGTCATGTGGTGTTAACAACACGAGAGCGGAAACACTCGCGAAAAACTTCATGTCGCAAGTGCTTCGGGTCTGGGAAGGGGGGAGAAGCTTGAACTCGTTAGGCGAGTTTGATTTAAAGAGACACGGCCAGCAATGTCTCTGAGGAGAAACTTTTATAAATACAAAATGATTACTTTAGCTTTAAGTGTTAATATTATTAATTCTTATAGTGAGATTAAGTTAAAATTAAATAAAAAAATAATCAATGCACTAGAACCCTTTTAAGAAGGGAACAAAAGCGTGCTTAAAGTCAATTAACAACCGCTTATGGTTGAAAGTAGTAAGATTGCCCGATTACGGGACAAAGAGAGAGTGAACTTAAGGGAAGCTGAAAGATCAGCAAATTCACTCAGGCAGAGGGGGGCACGCGAACGAGTGTAGTGAAACCTTCGAGGCGCTTCGTCTCCACAGAAACGCCTCTTGGGAAAAGGAAGCGCATTATATGCGTTCTCCAGAGTAACTCTGGATCCCTTTCTTGATGATGCAATTCCCGGATGATAAACAGCCAGGCAGTGGAGTACGGGGTTTCCTATCGAAGGAATCTTTTGGAAAAAATTAGCCGAGAGTCGCTGTATAAAGCGATTCACAGGGAGAATTTTGGCTGCATTATGAATGTCCTCTTTCGTAACAAGGAGCTTTATAAATTTGCCGTAGCATAATATTCTAAAACAATTGAATTATGTTTCCTGTTAGTGATTGCTGCTGCGCCCCATACAGGACTAGCATATGTTAGAATTGGCTTTATCATTGATTTATATGGCAATGGGTTTTGACAACTTTCGCATTGGAAATAATTTTTTGGATGTGAGGTTGCCAAGTTAATTTTGAATCAACTATCACCCCTAGATACTTATAAGTAGGAACCCAGGGAATTGGTTCTCCGAAGAACTGCAAGTTAGGTAAATTTGGCAAAGTACTTCGGATAAATAAAGTGGCAGCACATTTAGCGACATTAGTTTTGATCTTCCACAGTCCGAGCCAGAGCTCTAGGCTTGAAAGATAATTTCTGCAGTGCAGAAATTACATTGGAGATGTTGGTTCATGATGGCTGTGTCCGCATATAAAGCTAGGTCGACATTAGGAGACTTAGGAATGTCATTTAAGAAAATGTTGAGCATTTGAGGTCCGAGAAAACTTCCTTGCGGGACTCCAGCACAGATCGGGTGGGGAGTTGAGTATTCGTGGCGAACTCGCACCCGAAAGGATCTACCCGTCAGGAACGAGTTAATAATTTTAATGAGTTGCGCCGAAAAACCAAGCCGCATGAACTTGTAAATAAGCCCGTCATGCCAAGTCCTGTCAAAGGCCTTGGCAATATCAAGATAGATAATTCCAGTTTTCTCTCGTTTACGAAAGCCCTTGTGAATGAATTCGACTACACGGAGTAACTGGTGTACCGTGGAGTGTTCAGACCGGAAGCCGAATTATTAATCAACAACCTACAGTCTTACACTGCACTACGCCGATGTAACGATACCAGTACTTTTACGGAGCTTGCTTTTTCCAAGCTGAAGATTAAATGTTCCTACACTTTCATGGAGCATCACTGTATAAAAATTGTGCTTTGATAACACTTGCCGATCTGCGTAAAGATTAACGTAACTTTACGGAGGAGTAATGCCATTAGAAGTGTCCTGGTATATTTAACAAGTAGTAGCTTTCGGTGAAAGAGCTTTTTTTTGGGGGGGGGGTATGTTTTACAGTCGCCTTTTTCTGCACATAGTGTTCAAGAAATATGGAAGAAATGTTAAACTATAAAAATAATGGAACCTTATGACCCATTAACCGAAAAAAAAAAAAAAATCAGAATAATTTAATAGAAATCGGTAGAAACATGTATAGGATCTAACTTTCTTTGGCCGCATAAACTAATCTAAATCCTACTTATGAACTCGGCGACTTCTCGCACAGGGGTGAAATAATATCAACACAAAAGGAGGGTGAAAATAACTCTTTATTATTTTCAACAATGAACAGAAATTCACGTACTTCGCGTTTTACAACAACACCGACAACTTGCGGTGGAACTTAAGCGTCTTACACAAAACAGTTCAAGTCTAAAAAAAGAATATTGCTGGATTAGCACTTTAAATTTCGGCTATCAGGCTTACTCGACAACCTAACAGGCATGATAATTAATCAAATAACCAAAAGGCGTAATAGCAAGGTCAAAAACACAACGTGTGCTGGCTAGCAAAAACACGCTCTTTATAAACTCCAAGATTCCTCCGTTTCAATATTCACTTTACTTAACTTTAAATTTACAGCCTAGCGAGGAAATACGAGAGGAAGTTGAGGAGTTCAAGAAAGATAACAAAAATGTGAATAATAGGTTAAATAAACTAAGGGAAACCCTACATATGTACTTGTGTACATATGTATCAAATCATAACTCTAAGAACATCAACAAGGACCGCACTTCTGGAGGATGGACAGCAAATACTTAAAATTGAATCGAACTGACATAGACGAAAATTTATGAATCTAGAACCAATTAGATCACATGCACTTGTTCAAATTCCGAATCGCTAGCAGATAACGCTAAAAATAGAAATTAATCGTATATCACTTCTAATGAAAATTACGGGAATTAGCTGCCAGGTTCAGAAATAGAATATCAGTTCTCATAAAGTGGAGGTTTTTGGGCATGATAAAAGAATAAATTGAAGAATCTTTTCTTCCATCGTGTTTCTGAGTTTGATTCCAATCAAACATACAGGTGGATTATGTGGAAGTAGTGGATCTCGCAAGGGGTGAATGAAAAATTGTCCTGCAAATAAGTTATTAGAAAAGTGAAATTTTTGGACTGCCGGTTAAGCATGAAATTGCTCACGTGATATATTTATGCTAGTTTCAACTGTCCTGTGAGCCATAAATATTAAATCTGTGTTTATGATATTTTAAGCTGAAATTTTGAGCTTTTTTTATGAGTTTCATCTTGTGTATGTTCTTTCGAAAAGTTGAAAAGGAAACAGAAACAAGAATTCTAAATTTGCTGTAATTATAGAGATTCAAAAAATAATCATTTACGATATTATATCATATACTTTTATGAAGTAAAGCCTTTAGAGTGCAGTTATTTAGATATTATATGAATTTAAAGAAGAATAAGAATTTAAAGTTTCACAGTTTTGGAGTAGAAACAATGATTACGTCTGTATAAACAACACTTTTTATTGCCAAATGCTTAAGCAATTGGAAATTTTTTTAAAACAGGAATATTTATGTATTTATACAAATTACTTATTTCTAAAATTAATTTAATATATTTTCAATATGTGCTGAAATAAAAAGAAATGAGACGTTTTTAAATTAATTGACGTAAATTAAAAAAACACGTAATTCCTTAAGACTGACAGTTACTAAACCTAACATAAAATAGAATATAAACACAAACTATTATGAAAGTAACTGTAAACTATTATGAAGTAAACAATAATATTGTTGCGTTTCTTACGGGTTTGTGGATTTGGAGATATAAAAACCATTAACTTTCAACAGGCTTAAAAAGGAATTACTCAGGGATTTTTAAAGATGGTGAAAAACACTTTTCTAAATCAAACGAATTATGATGCTTGAATGGATCTTAAGCAAGAGACACTGTAACTTGATATAACGAAGCAAAGACCTTTAAACCAGTGCTTAAATTGCGCCGGAGCCCGGCTCCGGTACTTCTCAATTTTTAAGATAATTTACAATTCTAGCCGGAGCGCACCGGAGCCCTAAATAAGATGAGCTCCGGCACTTCTTTTTATAAAACTGAACCACAATTTCAAGAGAAAAAAATTTAAATTCCTAACATTTTAGTTTAACAATAAGCAGACCTTCCAATACTCTATTTTCGTAGAAATACGAACTCATGAGAACATGAGAAGTTCAAGTAAAGCCCCCGCATTCACATGCGGAAACCTTTCCCCTTAGGAAGGGCAATAAATTTGGGGTGTTTAGGAACGCGTAAATTTCTCTCCATGCCATCGTATTTAGTGTATTGTTATCGATGGTTAGTTATCCTCGCAGGAAGGAAAATTTGTGTTCTTAAATGTGCGTTAAGTGACAGCGAGTACAATAAGAGTGAAATATTGAGATAAACTGCTCAAACACGTCCAATACATCATCTTCCCACAGTATCCACTAATGTAAGCAAATACGGGGGGGGGCGAAAAGTATAACCAACAACTTTACATTCATCCTTAGGAGTCAGATTCAAGACTCATTTTACCTCTGACACACATCCGCTTGATGGCTATAAATATATCAGCAGAGAGCCGCGGTCAAAGAGAACGATTTGTTTCACCAAGATTCCCCTCATTTTTTGTTTTCACCCAGTCATACCCTCACGCCCTCATTCTGTTTCGCCCTGTTTTAGCATTATCTTAATTTTCATCAGCTATACTTTAAATATATTTAATTTTTGTGATGATTTTCCCCTACGATCAGAGTTTAAATTGGGCTGGAGTTCACCTGATCCCGGCTCCTATGCTTCTTAGTTTTTGTAATAAATCATAATTGTAGCCGAAGCGCACCGGAACCCTAAATAAGAAGGCAGCGGCACTTTATCTATGTAATTGAATAACAATTTCAGTAGAAATTTTATCTCGAAAATTTTATTTTTAGCAATAAAATTATATTAAAAATCGCTTATTAAATTTTAATTTATCTCTTTACATTTAAATTAATTTTAATTATTTAATTACGTCAATCTTTAATTATTTAATTATTTTATAATTAATTAATTAATTAATTAATACTTGTAAAATAAATTATAATTAATTAATTGGATAATAATCAACTATTAAATTTTAAAATTATTAATGAGTTTAATAGTCATTTTATTTATTTATTTACTCTTGTTACTCTTTGCTGACGGTCTCCATAGGGCTCCGGTACTTCTAATTTTAGAAATTAAGCCCTGCTTTAAACAATACTTTCTTCATTTTATTACACCTAAGTCTAGTAATTATTATAATTATGTTAAAAAGTCATAGTCTTTAACAAATTTTTCGAGTGTCAGTGTGATTGTGGAGTGTCAGTCCTTTATTATTATTGTCACCGTGTGTATCTGTGATAAGTCCAAAAAATAATTACAACATTAAATTGGTATTCCCCTTTAAACATGAGAAACAATAGGATTCCTTAATCATCTATTTTCTAATACACTGAGAACAAAAGAATTTTGTCTCAAGAAATACATTTTTTAGATATTACATTCCTTTTTTTCTTTAGGAATTTCTGCAAGGACGAGTTTCTATCAGCGACCCTCTTATCCGATGCCACATCCTATATTATTTGGAGCACCTCCATTTTACAATTGGCAATCGCCTTTTGTTCTCAAAACGTTGTTTTCTTCGAACATGAATGATTTTCAATCACCTTTTTATACTGAAAAATGTTTGCCAATGGAAAAGCATTATAGTATGCTTAATTTTATGGATCCTTTACAGAAGAATGCGCCAATTTTTCAGCAAACTGGTCTGCAATATACTTTTCCCAATATGAATGAAACATCTTTCAGAAATCAAACTAATTTGATCAAAACGCCTTCAACAAGTACACCAAATCAAAATGAGCCAGTATTTACTCGTCCTTTCTCGAAATATTGTGGTATCAAGAAACCAAAATCAATACATGAATATAATGCTTTAATGAAAGCTTCAGAACGCTATCCGGAAGCATATCCATCTATTTTAAAGCATCAAAAAACGAAATTTCTCGCAGCATTTGGTTTGGTCCCTAAAGGACTCTGCAGTTCAAAAACGTTACGAAAATTTCGCAGGGAATGTAAAAGGCGACGAATCGTTGAAGAACGCTGCGTTCGTTTCTTGGAACATAAAACATTACGCGACCGCAACAAACTAAACAAAAGAAGCTTCCATGAGCCTCACAGAAACTCAGCTTGCTATTTGAAAGCAGGCGGATATTCTAAAACGCCCTTGCGTAGTATGAGTATATTGGCGTCTAAGCGAGTAAAGCAAAATTGTTTGGAGCGTTTTAATAATTCTGAGGGAGTTAAAAGAATTTCGGCTAGAAATTTTGGAGGCGAGATCAAGCGCAAAATCAACTTTATTAAAGAGCGATCACCAGAAGTTATTGATATTGCTTCAGGAGATGAAGAAGAGAAACAAAAGAAATCATGTCAAAGTGAATTGAGAACAGAAAGTGATTGGAAAGGAAATCAAGAACAAAAAAGTGTTCAGTCACCTAACTGTAGCTCAAATCAGGAGGAGTTAAGTTACCCCTTTTCCGAGACTTTACCTCTGCATGGGAAGGTATCCATGGGAAATTTTAAAAATCAAGCTAATAGTAATTATCAAAATTCAGTTGAAGATAGCAACGTTTTACAATCGGAAAGAAGTTCCATGCTCAAAGGAAGAGATTTCCAGCAATATCCACTACAACCATATCTCGTTTCTATTAGTGACTCAGAAAATATAGCTGCAATGTCACCCACGAATCAAGGGCAAAATAAAATTATACCAGAGACTGCAAAAAGTGTCTCTTTCAACAATTACCACCCGCATAAAGAAAATCTTCTCTCCAAACCAGCTCATAACTTACCTGTACCTAGGCAGTTCATTCCAATAATTTTAAAGCATGATAAAAGCATTCCCGTATCCAATCAAAAAGATACTTCAAGTGTAGCTCACCCTTATCCAATAAGGCAATCACCATCGGAAACGAAAATGCTTTTAGTGGACAGATTGCCGAAAGGCGCCATAGTGATTTTTCCCTCATATGGCCAACAAATATTACCAAAAGGCTTAAATGTTAGCAAAGTATCACCAGCATATCGGCCAATAGCTCCAAGGCAAACGATTTCTCAGATTATTACTACACCTTCAAACATTACTCCTGAAAGTGAATCACTAAATAAGGATAAAGAGGAAGTTGAAAATAAAGAGAAGAAAGGAAACGGAAATTTTCAAAGAAAAACCGAATTTAGTGGTAAGCATTAGATTCAAACATCTTATTTATTATGAAAACAGTTTTATTTTTAGCATTACGTTATTTTTTGTACTAAATAAGTAATTATTAGCTGCTCTATTTCTATTACATCGTATATGTCTTATTTTCTGATTTCTGTATTTATTATTTCCGTCACAAATTATAAAATTATTTGCATTATTTTATGCAATCTCATTTATTTAGAAATGATTTTGCTTGTTCCAAAATGTATTAAATAAGAATTATAACTGGCTGTGATCATTCTGGAAGCATACTAATATTATGAAAGGAGATCTCTAAAGCATAATTCCCCCACCCGAAAAGGAAAGGAAATAAACGAAATTTGCTTTTGTTTCCGTATTAAATGTTTTACCCTCTTGAATCGCATTACGTGAAGACAGTATTGTTTTAAATAAGCATCAAATTATTTAGAAATGCCACAAGTAATAATTTTCCATGCGTTGTATATATATATATTTTCTTTGCATATATATTACATATAAATTTTACTTTTTCAGAATCGTAAAGAAATTCCATCTCAGTTTCTTAATTTTCTTATTTTAAAACTAAGCGGAATTCTAATTTTGGATATTTGACTTACACTGAGGAGATATCTATTATATAAATTCGCGATAAAACAGTAGTAACACTGTACATCTTATTAAAATTGTATTTATATTTTAATATATTTCTTGTCTTTGTTGTTAGTAAAATAAATTTAAGCTTCATATACTAAAATAGATTTATTTGCATTTGTACTATACACATGCTATACTATGAGTGGTTTATAACCCTGTCATATTTGCAATCGTTTAAAATTAAGCAAAATTCAACTTTGTTTGAGATTGTTCTGCAGGAAAAGTACATGTATTTAAAAAGAGACTAAAACTTATCTCTCTTCTTCAAGTAGCTAATCTTTTGTTACACTTATAATAAAGCTCTCATGGTTATGGTTACAGTGAAAACATTTCCAAAATTTTTAATGGCAATACCCCCATTTTTCTTGCGCAAGTTGATTAGTGCATTGAAAAACCATAAATTATAATTAAGACACAATAACACGCCGAATAAATACTAATTCAAAAGTCAAACAACAAAAATCAGCGTTATATTTTCAAAATTTTCGCAAAAAATTTTTTTTGCTGTTTTGCAGCTGAGGATGGTGGTTCGGTGAAACCATCGAAACTAGTCCTGCGAAAATTTTGAAAATATAACGCTGATTTTTGTTGTTTGACTTCTGAATTACCATAAATTATGTTGGAATGACGAAAATTGCCGGCATAAAAATTTGCAAGGAAGAACGTTGTAGAGGACTAATAACAACACAAGCGAAGAGAGAGAAAAAACTTTTATTTGAATGAACAAAACGTGTAATTCATAATTCCGATATAAGAATTAATTGGAATTAATTCTTTTATTGGAATTACAGACGTGTACAATATTAGGCGTGTACAACGTTTCAACATAGGAATCATCTCCCTGAATTTAGCTGATTCGTGGCCGCCGCCCATTCCTCAATTTCATTCCGATGGACTTCTGGCTCTGGTGCTATCTGAAATCTAAGGTACAGGCATCAAATCCTCCAGATTTACCAGAACCGAAAGATGCAATAAAACGTGAAGTTATACAGATTGGTCCTGCGATTTTATGTTCGCCATAGTTGTCAACAATCTTCCTGCATGCAGTTTTTAACATGCCTACCATCGATTTGTCTGCAATGGTGGGCATGTTAAAAATTTGTGATTGCAAGCTCCTTTTCCTCTCATCTTTTGTATTCATCATTGGTCCATTACAATACTAGTCTTTTCAAATATTTAATGACGACAATTTTCGTCATACGTGTATCGTCCCTATGCCATTTATTTATTTTTTCAATGCGCTGATCAATTTGTGGGGCAAAAAAGTGGGTGTTGCCATTCGAAAATTTCGAAATTTGTTTCATTGTAATCGTTACCATGAGAGCTCAATTGCTTTAAATCGTCACAATCTCGAGCGCAAACTTGCAAATAAGAATATCTGAAATTTCATTTCGATTGGTTGAGCGGATAAGTCAGTAAAGGTTCATATTTCGGGAAGTTTATTTATGACCATCCTATGCAATGCAACGGCCTAACAAGTGTTGGCTCAAATTCGAACTGCACGAGGGATTCGTCTAGCAAAATGGCTAATGTTGCATAACTTAGGTCGTTGAGCTAGTAGAGGCAATGATACAAGTGGCCGTAGCTGCCGAAAGTTCTCTGTCTAAACATCCTCCGAGAACCCATACGTTTATAACTCATTTACATCCTGTTAAGAGCTAACAGAAAAAAAAAAAAAAAAAAAAAAAAAAAGCGATACTGGAGTTAATATAAGAAAACAATGTCTTAATTAGCATTAGATACCATACAAGTCTAGCTTAAAAAAAGGTTGAAAAAGACTGTCTGCGGTAGTACGCCGTTTTATGAGGCAAATTTCAACTCGCAAAATATATAAGTACTCCAGAAACAAGTGTTTGGATTTCAAGTTTCCGTCAGATGAGTTTTGTGTGAGATAGATTGAAAGTACTTAGATTTAATTTTGTCATTTAGAATAATTATTTACATTTTTAAACCTTTTTAAAGTTAAAATTTTTATTAGCCACAGTTGCAGATAATGGAACACTGAAAATCATTCTATATTCCTCTGAGGTCAATATCTACGGCAAACCTAATGAGTAATAACGTTTTCAGTTTTCTTCCCTTTTTACCTCCTTGTACGCAGTAAAGGAAATATTGTAATCGCGAAAATTTTCGGATATCATATTTCAACGAAAATATCCATTTTGACCTCTCAAATACAGTTTAACGATGTTTTTGAGTGACATCTGTACATAAGAACAGAATAAAGGACTCTTTTTCCCAAAGCGGGTTGCAAAAAGGATTTTAAATGAATTCAGCAGATATTTTTTCGTGACGTCTGTCCTTACGTACGTACCTATGTATGTATGTATCTCGCATAACTCAAACGTTAGTAGCCTCAGAACGTTTAAATTTTGCATATAGGACTGCTATAAAACGTAGTTGTGCACCTCCCTTTTTGGTAGATATTGGGGGGGGGCGCGCAACAAATATATATATACCATTCTGTTACGGTTCCATGAGCTCAGTTTTTTTATTCTTATTTATTGGTAAATTGTTCATTTTTTGCTTTCAAAATGATTGAATTATATTTTCGTATCTTTGGGTTAAAGTTATATGCCTTTAGTTAATCTGCATGCAATGGTTTAGCATAATCAACAATTAAAAAGTTGTTTAAGTGCGGCTAAACCTAATTTTTACTTTCTTGTACGAAGTAAAGGAGGTATTGTAATCACGAAAAATTCCGGATACCATATTTCAACGAAAATAGCATTTTGATCGCTATCGAATGCAATTTAACAATGTTTTTGCATGAGATCTGTACGTAAGGTCACAATAAAGGACTATTTTTCCCAAAACGAAATTATAAAACTGAGTTAAAATGGATTCAGAAAAGATTGTTTTCGTGGCTTCTGTACGTATGTATGTATCTCGCATAACTCAAAAGCGAATGGTCTCAGAACATTGAAATTTTCCATGTGGGACTACTATAACATGTATATGTGCACATCCATTCTTGGCTGCATTCGGCCGCAATAAAAGTATATATATCCACTCTCTTACTCCGCTTAGTGAGCTCAGTTTCTTTATTCTTATATTATTGTAAATTGTGCATTTTTTTGCTTTAAAAAATGATTGAATTATGTTGTTCTTATCTTCAGGTTAAGGTTTTATGACGTTATTTAACCTGCGTGTTATAGTTGTAGAATTATCAACAATTTAATTGGTTAAGTGTGGCTAAGCCTAATTTTTATTACTTGTTTGAACGAAGTAAAAAGGAAGTATTGTAATCACGAAAAGTTTCAGGCAGAATATTTCAACGAAAATATCCATTTTGACCGCTATCGAATGTAATTTAACGATGCTTTTGCGTGACATCTGTACGTAAGGGCAGAATAAAATACTCTTTTCCTCCAAAAAAATTATAAACCTGCTTTAAAATGAATTCTGAAGAGAATTTTTCGCGGTGTCTGTACGTACGTACGTACGTATTTATCTCGTATAACTCAAAAACGAGTAGTCTCAGAACGGTGAAATTTTGTATATAGGACTGCTATGTATATATGTAGATGTGCATCTTGTATTTTGGTTGCAATCGGCCGCACCAAACGTATATAAATATATTTATATATACTTATATACACTCTGTTACCCGGCTCAGTGATTTCAGTTTCTTTACTCTTATGTGTTTGTAAATTGTACATTTTTTGCTTTAAAAAAATGATTGAATTATGTTGTTCTTATCTTCCCGTTAAGGTTTGTATGCCTTTAGGAAATCTGCAAGCAATATTTGTAGAATTATCAACAATTTAAAAGCTGTTTAATTGTGGTTAAGCCTAATTTTGAAGTAACATGGCGGACATGTTTGTTTATAATTGAAACAGCAGAATAGTTGATTTGTTGCCAATCTAGAGACACTAAGTTTCGCAACAACAAAGATTAGTGCGAATTAAATCATGCTTAATCCTTTCTGGAACTTTTTCGAGGAAATAAGTGTTTAAGATTTATTTCGTAATGTTTAATGTAGATATTTTGAGTTTTTATGTATTTTTTTCCTTGTCGCGAAGTGGGAACTGAATTAATTGAATGAGGAATACTGAATCGTCTGTGAAAAACTGTTTCTTTTTTGTTTTGTTTTCTTATTTTATTTTATACACGTTCTAGATATATTATAGTACTTGAATAGAACAACGATTAGATAATTCTTCAAATGATATAAATTTTGTGCATTCTGAGTTATAATATGAACGAAATGTAATACTGTTAAGTGAACCTAGCACCAGAGTGTCGCTATGGTAAACAAATATAGTGAATTTTATAGAGTACATTTATTCTATTGTGATTTATGCGCTATCGACGAAGTAGATTTAATTCAATCAAATAAGTTAAAATGAAATGCAAGAA